TGAGAAACAAGACCGTTCTAAAAGATCGCATAACATGGCGTAGAAAAGAAAGACCCTAAATAACGGGCATGCCTAAGGAAAATATAAAAAGAAGATTATCCTATTGAGCTATAAAATCTGCCTATCATGTTTAGGATTGCAATCAACGGCATCAATTTCCAAAAAGGGCTAATGTTCGTGTAATCAAGCATTCGTACACCTAAACGATTTAAAAATAGGGACAAATACATAGATCATCATGGGCAAGGTTATTTATAAATATGTAATCTGAAATCCTACTAATATTATAAATGCGAAAGTTTGGATGTTTGGAAAACTACTGAACGGATTTTGATGAAACTTTACAGTATTATAGTTTATATAGCCCAGAACAACATATAATTTATGATGACCTGTGACAAACGAAATTTTACGCGGGAGAAGCCGCGGGCAAACGCTAGTAATTAATGATTATGAGTGAATTGATGACATAAAAACTTGTGAACATTCAACGTTACCATGAAATCAAATCAAAAACTATCTATTACAATTTTTATCATCTGCTCCGCTTCACTATTATGAGTTGATCTTTTACACTAATCGTTATCGTACAATCCAAAAGTCATATTGGCACATTTTTTTATTGGTATAAAATAACAGATATTTATTCTAGGTCTGATTACCTGATCAGCATCAGCAGGGCTAAGATTAGGCAGATTAGGCAATAGTGACTGAGTTTCTTGCACTGCTTCTTCTCAGCACTGGCCCATTTATTGTCCTGAAGCAGTGGTAGGGTTTATACTGGGACGTGTAAAAGAGCTTTTTTAAAGCCTATTTGCATAAATAAATAAGTTTTATGAGTTTTTTTAGATGCGCGCATCGATATAATCTAATCGACGCATTTTATCAATTTAAGACGATAAGTCGATACATTTGTCGTCTAAAATCATCGATAAGATTTAACCAGGCTATGATAAATGATAGCTTGGCAGATCTTGATCTACTACTGGTTTTCATTTTCAACTAATTAGTAATTTAATATATGTATTATGTTTACCGAATAAATTGTTACCAATTGTATTTGAAGGTGTATGCGTAAACGGTTTGTTTGCATAAATAAAATATTTGTATTTGTATCAATTACAGCAAATCAAGCGCCTCGCTGAAGAGCTGAAGGCTACAGGCACGCTGGAATTCATTACCGCGTGTCCGTGGCCCAAGTTCAACCATTTAGACTTTCTGTTCGCGAAGGACGTGGCCAGCATACTCAACAATCCCGTTGTGAAGCTCGTCAATGATTTGTTCAGTAAATATTACAAATAAATGCTGTTTTATTTCATTGTTGTGGCCGTGCTCTATAATCTCGGGCCAAGATATGCTCTACCATTGCACAGTGTTCAATTTCGCCTCTGTAAAGTTATGTCCGACCCAGAGGCGAAACTGAACACAGCGCACAGTGCCAGCCACCTTGTTCAGAAGATGCGTATTCAGCCATGGCTGGAAGGGTATAGGGGCTGAAACCCGAGGCGTATGCATTGAGATCACAGAAGGCAAGCAATATCTTCCACTTTTAAAATTTCTTTTTGGCAGTAGAATTGCACAGTGTAGTAGAGTCTACATTGTAGATCATTATTACTACATATTCATATTAATACATCTTATTTATGTTTATGACTTTTTGCGTTAGTCAAGTTTCAATGTTTTTCTGTTTCTTACATAATTATATACAGGGTGACTGGAACTGAACCCGCCATAGCTAATACGCGTATAGAGGAGGTCATTTGCTAATTATTGAACCTTACTTTCTAAGACTAAAGTTTTATTTATAGTTTAGGAGATATGTCAATTTTATACTTTTTTCAGATTTTTCCGAAATTTGACCTAAAAACTGCTTACATTTTTTTTCTCGCTTGATTTCAACAGTTTTTTTTTATTTGATATTAATATCGAATAGGTCTTTATTCATATAAAATAAATTTCTGATCCATATAATGATTGAATAGCTACTTACGAGCCACCAAAGTCTAACAAAAGTACAAACCACGATAAAAAATTCTACTTCGAATTCGATTGAAGCAAAAATTAATGGTGATAATGGATTGCCAATGATCTTAAAAATATCTCTAGCTTCTCTTCTTTCCAATGATATATCACACGTTGCAATTAAATATTGAAATTTGTCAAAAGTTCAAAGTTTATGGAAGAAAATGGAGTAATAATACAAAAAATATCCATACAAAGTTGATTTTGAATTTTTTTAAACTCTTTTCTTCATAATGTGATTATTATTTTTAAATTCATTTTTCAAAAAACACACAAAATAGTTATGTAAAGGAGTATAGCAGAAAATATGAGATGTTTGAAGAAACTTTGTATGGATAATTTTCGTATTATTACTCCATTTTCTTCCATAAACTTTGAATTTTTAATAAATTTCAATATCTAATTACTACGTGTGATATATCATTGGAAAGAAGAGAAGGTAGAGATATTTTTAAGATCATTGACAATCCATTATCACCATTAGTTTTTTTTTAATCGAATTCAAACTAGAATTTTTTATCGTGGTTTGTACTTTTGTTGAACTTTGACGGCTCGTAACTAGTTATTGAATCATTATCTAGATCTGAAAAATATTTTATTTGACTAAAGGTTTATTCGATATTAGTATCAAATAAAAAAATTGGTTAAAATCATGCGAGAAAAAAAATTTAAGCAGTTTTTAGGTCAAATTTCGGAAAAATCTGAAAAAAATATAAACATTGACATAATATCTCCTAAACTATAAAACTTTAGTCATAGAAAGTAAGGTTCAATAATTAGCAAATGACCTCCTCTATACGCGTATTAGCTATGGCGGGTTCAGTTCCAGTCACCCTGTATAGTAATTATTGCAAATGCGCAAAATATGCGTTTTCAAATATTCGGGCACCAATAAGCTGTGATAATGGTAGGTACAAATACAAAAATCTGGAGTTTAACAACATCCAGAATCTGAGGAAATCTAAAGTAACATGTCATTGTGTTAAAAATACGCTAAAACGGTGATCGCCCTGATGACAATGAATGGTTAAAAATGGTTAAGTAGGTACAGTCACATACAGATATATCGGCGCAATAATGAATTATTCGAGAAAACTTATTGTTGTACGATTATAATTTAAAGTAGTACCTAGAGTAACTATTACTTTGACTGACATGTTTTCAAGTTATTTTCCTTTTAAACAAAACGAAAAGAATAAAGCAATAATTATAATGTCAGTTGCCTACTTACATGTCATTTTGTCATTGAAATATTGATCAAAGTTCTTCATGAGTCATGATGAAAATATTTCAATGTTTCTTTCAAACAAATGCACTGAATATTCTCAAACAAAGACATCTACATGACGTAATGCACTTAGTGAAAGAGACAGCTAGATAATATAGATGTTATTATCTTCTATAATATAAAAATGAATCGCAAAATGTGTTGGTAAGCGCATAACTCAACAACGCCTGGACCAATTTTACCAATTCTTTTTTTTAAATGTTTGTTGAAGTCCAAGGATGGTTTTTACAACGAGAAAAGTTTGAATAATTTCCGGGTAAACCCTAAAAAACTCGAAACTTCACCCCTAAGGGTAAAACGGGGTCCACGCGTACGAAGTCGCGGGCGGCCGCTAGTTATTAATAAATAAACAACTTACCAGTTCATAATAAATTGATTGAAAGCAGCGCTACAATATTGATTTCTTCAGATGACATAAAGATCTTATTCTGACAGCGTAAATATTTATGAATAATGATTTAATAATTTTCCTATTTTAGATAAGATGATCTATCTGACGCTAACTGTACCTAGGCACTGCCTACTATCACATTGTCATAGCGAGATAATGTGCATTTTATGTACTCGTATAACACGAAATAACTTTGTATAGGATAATTTTAATCCTATTTTAAATCAGAATCACAAATGAAAACAACCAAGGAGTACCTAACATACAAAGCCCAGCAGTGCAACTTTGGTGCGAAAAACAATGCATTTAATGCCAACATGACCATGACAAACAAATCAAAAACTGTATCCATACGATCACCCTCCGAAAGAAAAAGAGCGCTTTTTAAAAACTTCGTACGTTTCAGCCAATTCATGTCCATTGCTGGGCAAATTCCTACCTCAAGGATTTCCACTACGATCGTACGTCGAGTTTTAGTAAGGGGTTGAACAATTTTCACCCCCTACGAATTTATTACTGTACTAGCTTTTGCCCGCGGCTTCACCCGCGTGAAATTTCGTTTGTCACAGATCGTCATAAATTATAGCCTATATGTTATTCTGGGTTATAAACAATAATACTGTAAAGTTTCATCAACATCCGTTCAGTAGTTTTTGCGTGAAAGAGTAACAAACATCCAGACAATCAGACATCCAAACTTTCGCATTTATAATATTAGTAGGATGAACTTTCAAAATTTCAGTATTCGTAGCCACAACACCAAATAAATAGAAAAATAGCTTAAACATGAGTAACTAACTTTTTAACCTATTAATTGTCTAAAGATTTATAGGAATTAATTAGTAAATTAGTATGGAAAGTAATTAATTACTTTACACGTAATTAACGCAGCTTCAGATGGGGCGGTAACAAAGATGTCAGTCGGGTAATCTACATAATTTTCTAAACCCTAGCGTCCACTAAACGTTGGAAGATATTAGTCATGCTACGGAAATTTATTTGTAATAATCAATGGTTGAATCATCTAATGCAACCTTATTTTTTCCTTAAGTGCTTTAGAGCCATTAGACAAGCTTATTAAGCTGTCATTTAATAATTATTCTATAATAATAATGACTTTCACAGTTTAATTGAATCACAACGTGCTGCTTTTTTGCAATTTCAAACTATGTTAAAAAAACCTCAAACTCAAACATAACCTCATAATTAAAAAAACCGCGGTATTGATACCACTAAGCTTTATTATAATATTTTAAACTCCCCTAAGACACATAATATGAAACTTTCGCGAGGCATTTTAACGACAACGCTACATTTATTACGTATTACATAAATGATTTCGCTCACGCTATACTATGCCAAGCTCTACCTCTGGACGAAGGCCCTAAACGAGTCCACGCTTCGTCGATGAAAACCGATAAATAAAAACAACGGCAGGACATCACGGTCCACGTATCACGAATGTCGCGCGGCAGCCGCAGGCGCACATTTTCGTAACACAATTTTGAAAATAGAACGCTAAATGCAGTTATTTTTTTCAAAACCGTGAAATTAATTTTTAAAATTAGAACGCTGTCTTAAGGCTGTGATTAAAAGACAGACAGTGCGATTTTAAAAAGATTTTAGTCATAATTTATTTTTTTAAATGGGTGCAATGAGGTTTTCTGTGATTATATTTTGTGCAGTCTTGTGCGTGTGCAGCGGGCAGCTGAGAAGGGAGGCGTATGCGACTGTTGTAAGTATAATATTCATGCCACATTATTAAATTATAAGTTAATTGTAGTAATAAATATTAATTTAACAAAATATTTTTCCCGTTTATTTTTATCATTATTTTATGCTAGCCTCTAAATGGAAAAAATATTTATAACTTTGTGATCTTGTTAATAACAATTTTTATTCTAATTTTTATTTTTTAAATGGTGATAGTGATAATCAACTTGCTCCCATTTTCCATTTTTTCCAATATTTTTCAAAGTGCATTTTTTCACAGATTAGTAAGATCACAAATTCATCTTTTCAAGATACATATTGTGAATTGATTTAACAATTCAATGAAATATAGTCAGTATAGGTATTCCAACACCACTGACATTGTTGTTCGATTATACATAAAATACATACAGCTCTACAAAAGGCAATAAAAATAACTTTTGACCCAGTCGGGGTTCGTACCCGCACCCGCAAGCTTTGAGAACCGGCGCACAAACCACTGAACTATACATATATTTTAATAAAAATTCATTAAGATCTTGCCAGGTTATCTCTAAATTCCGCTCTAGAATGCATAAAAAAAAATGTTACAAAGGTACGCACTTATAAAAATAGCCTGGCTAAAAAACTTAAGTATAATTACAAAAAGTCTTCCTATCAAAAATCCAATTCATAAGAACAATAACCTCCTTGATTAAAAGGTAATAGAACAAAAATAGATAACCTTCGACGCGTTTCAATCATAAAACATATTCGTCACGATCGTACATAATTGAAAACAATAAAAAACTTCGAAAACGAAATAATACAAATTATTGTAATTTAATGGCACACTTCCTACCAATTTAATGAACATATAACAACAATTAGGAATTCGCGATTTTCGCGAACTGCTGCTGTGACAACAGTTTAAGTGAAACGTGGGATAAATTAATACCTAGTAAAATGCAAATTAACAATTTGTTTATTGTCTTTATTTAAATCAAATTAAAGACACAACCATTTAATTCTTTGGGGTTCGTCTTTTCCAGGTGTCGAATCCCGTAGAACATCGTAATAAAAGCACTCTATGTGATTGTGCTCTCATTTAAAATTCATTTTTACTGTCCATACATTTTCGGAGGACATTGATATGACTTCGATCAATTCTATCACACATAATATAGCAAGTCATAAAGTTTGACACCAGTTTATAAGCCTACATTATAAAAGAGAAAATCACCTATCTGCAACCAATAATGAATGTTTATTTACGTTAGTAGTTACTTGTTTACGTTATATCACCCACATATATACAAATAAGAAATGATTAAGTTGTGAATGAAAATTTTCCTCAGACGTCACTAATAATAACACAATTTAACGAAACCACTATTGTTGAGTTAAAGGATGTGCAATTTGTCCAATGGTTGGTTAAGTACCCATCAGAACTCACAATACATGCGCTCAACAATGAAGTTTCTTTTTACAGAAACACCATAATTGTCGACATCGTTATTAGAAGCATGATACAGTTAAGCATAATTAACTGGATCTTGAGAATATTATACTGTTGTGCCAACTACGAGTACACTCAGTAATTCCAAAACTGAACAGAAAATTGCATGGTTACATAAATTAATGTACAGAAGACACGTCACAAAGGCTGAATCTCATGTAGCTAGGTATAAAACAAACCATTTTAAAACTCTCTACTTCTCTCTACCTAAAAGTGTTCGACAATGTATAAAAAAATATGGGATTCAGTTTGTGCATGCGAATCAAGAATAGTAATGAAACAAAAATACGTATCCAGGGATGTCAAAATAATTTCAAATCAATGACTGACTATTCCAATGACTCATTCTGGACCTAGCATTATGCCATAATAAGTTATCCCAACATTACCCATGACTCAAGTATGGTACAGACAGATCAGTGGCTTTTCCTATGTCGTCTCATCATGAACAGGGAAAAAGTAGTTTGATCTTATAAAAATTACAAAAACGGGAAATTGCTGCAGCAAAGAAAATATAATAAGGATGTCATTATAAGGATGCACCATGTTAAAAAAACAGAATAACAAAAACAATCTTAGCTCTACGCTGTGGTGACTTCCGAAGTGTCATTGTCTTGCAGTACATCATAATAAACATTTTTATTGAAAAATCGCACTTATTAAAACTACGTACGATACCACAATAATAAGCTAGAGGTGCTGTATACATGCAGTCATGTCACAGAAATGTAAATAAATCTCAAATTCCTCGTTTATCTGTCACATCAGAGTCCCTCTAATGAGACGACGCATTACATATTTTATTCAGCACTGCAGTAGCATACAAGCATGTATAGAGGGTACAGTGGAACTAACTTCCTTATTTTAGTCGTTGTACTTGCGATGTCGCTAGAACAAAGGTAACAAAGGAAAACTATTACCTTACGTAATAGGTTCTATTAGAGCTGTAAGACCGAAAGTTCAAGAGTGCATACCTCAGTTCACAAAACAGTCGCACTACTGCCTTACATTGTTTCAAAACCCAATTAAAACGTATATATTGAATAGAAAAATCACTATTAAAATTATTATTGCGAATGCTATCCATTCCTCGATGCATCCATTCAAATAAGAACGTAAATGTTCTACATTAGCTATATTTTTTTCAGAGATGATATCGATCGACTTAAGCCGCGCTAGGATGAGCATCGTGATAAAATCTTATCGATGGTTTTAGACGACAAATGTATGGTCAACATTGCATCCTACAGGCAATTCGAATCCGATACCGCAAATCCGCGGGCAAATGTCATTGTTGCCGTGAATCTTATGGGTCTCTTATGGCAATAAGGAAGACCGAAGCTATTCATATTAATGAACGGCAAAAAGGTCCTATCGGCATGCCACTGTGACACTGAGGAAACAGAAACAAAAACTGCTCAATTTGCAAATAAATACAAATAACGGCGCGTGCTGTGATTTTAATTCCGAATTCGCATGGTAGGGCAGCCATGATTTAAAAAGTCGCGGACAATGTCTGTCTAAGTAAGGAGGACAATAACTCGCGTTGCCGTTTCAACAGGCTACGGAGGGCACTGTTGGGGTTCAGTGGGTAGGCCCACTATAGATCAATCTTCATAAATGATAAATATAGTCAAAGTCAAAATTTCTTTATTTATTTGACTAATAAATAGTACTTACAAATCGTTAAGTATTTTGCTCTTAAGGAGCCTTTACATGTCTCATAATCTTTTTTTTACCCTACCAGCTTGTATAGGCTAAATACGAGCACTATCCTAGAAAATAGTTACTTTTAAATTATCAACTAATTGTATGTGTCTTTTTACAACTAGTCTTGTCCAGTTTCGGAGACACCGAATGGTCGCCCCAAGAGCGGCGCGCGCGCATCTTCATGACATAATAAGAATAAACGTGCGCTGAATGGTACACTTCCATTGTTTATGTTATGGGCCTATTCGGTGACCTTCACGTTTCATACACTAAATACTGCCATTTATATCGATGAATGGATGGAATTGGATGCATTTAGTTGATGTAAAGTAAATTGTGCATGTACCTACAATCATTTATTTCAAAATGCTAGCTTCCGCCTAGTTATAGTTAAATTAAAAAACAGGAAAATTACACTGGGGTATCAATTTTTACTAAGCATCAAATAAAAGAATCGAATAAGTGTCACTGTCCTTTAGAGTAGGCGCACACCGTTGTTTTTTCGTCGGCCGATAGTTTAGTCGGGCAGTTGATCAGTATGGGCATGTATGGGAGTGCGCACACTACGCCGATTCGATTTGGCCGATTCTTCATACAATTTGAAATCGGGCACAACTATTGGCCAACTAAAAATCAACGGTGTGCGCCTACTCTTAATGTATTTACTCTTATTTCTTCATGAATCTTTTGTCACTAAGTAATTAATGTACATTGAAAATAGATTGTATAGGATAGGCGTCATTGATGGCCTGTGTGACACCCAATCATCATTGGCACTTGATGATTGTTACAACATTATTGTACAGCACGTGTCTTGTGGTTAGGTGTTACCGCACTATCATTATTTGCTGTAAAGCACTGCAGCAGCACTGCATTAGTATTTTTTTCATTTGTAACACGAGTCGGATTTCTCTTTCCCGCGAGTCAAATATGATTCACATCTACTCTGTGTGTACTTTATGGCTAAGTTATAAGCATCTCCAGCAATTTTTCGTATTGTTTTTATATTTTAACTTCATTATACGCAACGTCATTCAGCAGGGCTACGTTCTAATCTAGATTGCTACTTAATCGTGGCATATAAAGGCATGTGCTTAAAAATCGCATTTAGTTGCCACCGACCTATGTATCAATCAAAACAGCTTAGGTAACACAAAGTTCAATCTACTTCAATGTAGTTTCTTTGTTAACAATTTTTCTGAGTGGCATAATTAGAGAAAATTACATGTGTTACGGTTCAACACGAATTAGTTTATAATTCATTATAATTATTAACGAATTACACTCAAAAACAAAGTAAACATGCTGCACAATATAATTAATTTACAACTTTGTAAGAAAATTCGCAACTTTGTATTGTTATAAATACCTAACATTACGTTATTACTTTTTAGCTTATTAGTTGAAATTAAATAGTTTAATCAGTGAGGTCGTTTAATGAAATGTTAATTTGCCCACCGTATGTAGAGAACTTGAGTGCAGAATCGAAAAACTTGTAGGCGTGACATAAAATAAATATTTCTGGTGCTACATTTATATCAAAACAATATAAGAATTCCTTCAGCCAACCATCAGTCGTCATTCCAATATCAGAGATACTAATCTACAATAAGCATGCGTGTATCGTACTATTCTGTAGTGTCATCCATGTACTACAATATAATTTATAATAGCTTTTGCCCGCGGCTTCACCCGCGTGAAATTTAGTTGGTCACATAATCGTCATAAATTATAGCCTATGTGTTATTCTGGGTTATAAACAATAATACTGTAAAGTTTCATCAAAATCCGTTCAGTAGTTTTTGTGTGAAAGAGTAACAAACATCCAGACATCCAAACTTTCGCATTTATAATATTAGTAGGATACGAGTATACCACACACAGTCGTTACACATTCTCACGCAAACTCAAACACTTTAGATTCATGTCCATCGATAATGCAAATTTATATCAACTGGCCTTAGGAATGCTTTTTAATTTGGGTAAAAACCAGAAAACTTACACTGGTTAACCGCACTTAACCGCTTATTAGAAGCAAAAAAATGTAAATAATCTATTACAAATTCATTAAGATTAAAAGAAGGACCTTTAAATGAAAGGTTCAATAATGTTGATAAATGGCGTATTTCATTCATTTACAATTTAATGGAATAACTTAAGGTTTCAAAGATTATAAGTGCTAATTGACGGTGCTAAGGATGCATAGGCTTAAAGTGGGCTAAGGTTTTCAAGTTATGTTTCAAGCATTTAATATAAACTCCTGTTGCCCCATGACCCTAGGCCATGTCAAGGATATGAGTTGCATCATGAATTGTTTATTCTATTACAAAACTTAATAAAAATAATCAATACACTGTAATTAATTAACATATAGGAAAATAACTGTTCTATGTGATTAGTCCACCTGCTTATATTCAAATCTGATGCACAAAATTTAAAAAGTAATAAGCAACCAATTATTAGGTAACAGAGAATCACCTAACTAAAATGTAACGATTTTTTATCAAACTTTTTGTGTAGGACGATACCTAATAACAATTGTAAATAGACCTTAACGTATTATATCAGGAATTGTAAAGCATAAATAAACTCGATTTCGTGCCCGAATCCATGATTTGTCACCCTAATCGAAGACTAGTCGGCCAGTGCTACCAGACAAATAATGGTGCAGGGTCAAGGGTCAAAAATGTCAAGGCCGTTATCAAAACCATAATATAGCCCACGATTAAAACTCCATAATCACATAATTCTCGCTCCATGAACACGGATTCAAGCTATTACTTTAAATTGCGGATAAAGGTCTCTACCCACTACACCGTATCATACCATGACCGTGCTAGGAACGTGTCAGGCAAATAAATATTATTTGTATTGAAAAATGTGACACTGTTCCCAGTAGACCGTTCCGTCACCGACCAACACCGTCGCGTGCCATGCACGGAGCGTCAATAAATGTTGCACAGAACGCCGTCGATCTTCAGTGGGCATAGTAGAGCGTATCGTGTTGCTTTTCGTGCATGACACGTTCTTAGCACGGTCATGGTATGATACGGTGTAGTGGGTAGAGACCTTTATCATGATAGCTTTGCGGAAACAGTCACTAGAAGTAAATTAAGTTAATATTAATATTATAATATTAAATCGATATTATATCGTATTTTAATTTATTTATAATGGACGCGAAGCGCTCCTGAAAAGTCGATTATGCTGACATCGATGATGACAACACAAAACACGTTATTGCAATTCAGTAAACCTTCAAGTAGGTAACTACAATAATTTCTCGTAAAAGGAAGCATCCGATTATGGGGATTACAAATCTTATGCCATAGTAAAGACTTTTATTTGTTACCTCATCAAATTATTGGAAAAAGTAGGCGGCGATGGCAAGCGAAACTGTTCGCAGTGATACTAAAGCATCAACGAATAGATCAGCGAAACTAAAAAAAATAATATGGATTTTTGTAAAAATCAACTTGCGAAACGATATTGATGGTGATAACGTGCGCGACGCGCGTGCGTTGACAATAGTCACGTGACAACGTCCAAGTTACCGCTATTATTAAGGGCTTTAATTGTAAATAACCATTGTTAGACGTGTAAGATCATTAATTCAAATTATTGGATGAACCTAGGGTTTCTGCTCGAGCTTTCTCGAACTCGAGAAAACTCGAGAAATTTGGCTTCATTCGAGACGAGAAAAAAATTACCGGAGCTCGAGAATTGTCGAGTTTCGAATTTGAAGCTTTTAATATTCTTGAAAGCCTATTTTCTTAGACAAAAGTAAGTTTTTAATTATTTAATAGGTTAACGTTGCTTTTAGACTGGTCTACTCTTTCCTTTTTTACCCGACTGCGTGACGCAAAGGAGTGGTAATGTGTCTAACAGCCTATGTATGTATGTTTTTGAAGCACTATAAAGACCAAACTATTGGGTCGATTTTTATTATTCGCACGTCAATCGATTTCTCTTAAAGTCCGGTGAGTGTCACTAAACACATGACGTTAGTAAAAATTCAATATGGCGACTACCAGACGCCATATTGTGAAACTCAATAAACTATGGCATGTGAGGTATCGTTAGATTTGTTTTAACTGTGAGAGTGACACTGGGTATATGGAAAATATAAAAATGGCCGATTTTTGGCGCCATAATATGTATTAAAAATATATCTCAAAACCTATCGAGTGGGGTATCAATAAAGGATTTTTAAATAGCTTGCAAAATGTATGCTCTTTAACTAAAAGATTGAAATAAAAATACTATTGAAAAAATGAAATAAAAACAAAAAACCAACTGGGTAAAATTGAACTGAAAAGATAGAAATAAGACAAAGTGTAAAAAAAAATAAAAACAAAAAACCCAACTGGGTAAAAATGAACTGAAAAGATAGAATAAGACAAAGTGTTCACAAATGCAGTTGGAGGCATCAAACACTTATATCATCATATCATCATCAACAGTCCTTTACAGTCCACTGCTGGACTATGAGCCTCCTCCGCGGGAAGAGTAGGGGTTGGTGACAAATGTATTCCATTCTGCCGTCACCACACGGCTTATCACCAACTACTTATCACCAACAAAAAAAAAATAGTCATTTATGTCTCCGACTGCATTTTATGAACACTTTGTCTTGTTTCTATCTTTTCAGTTAAGTTTTACGTAGTTGGGTTTTAGTTTTTTTGTATTAGATTTAAAAAAACCTGTGTTTTTATCAAATTTCAACCGATTTCAACAATTTTAATTAAAAGACTCGAGACCCGAGAAAACTCGAGACTTTGGCCTCGAGAATTCCCGAAACTCGAGAAAAAAAATAGGTCGAGAAATCAGAAACCCTAGATGAACCGCATCAAGGCTAAATCAAACTGTGATCAAACTGTACGTTCAGAGATTGCTGTATTAGTAGGAAAACTATTATAAATTGAGAAAAGAGTGTTTCAAATTTTCATGCATTTGCTTTAAATTGAAGAACTATTGATACTTTGAAACAGATCTTAAACTAGAAATCGATAAAAGGGCCTATAACACTAAGTCAAATTCACTAATAACTAGAAGAAGTTATTGATATTCCGGTTTGCAGACTGGTTTGTCTACAACTCTACAGAAAATCTGTCCCAACTCCCAAAGCTAATAGGGATTTGGGGTCAACTGACAAGGACAAGAGCCGCTAAGAACAATTTTAAAATAACCTGAAACATGCACGTGCCTTCTAACCTTGCGTTATAAACTTAGATTATCCACATAAGCCTGGATAAGGCATTGAAACCTTTAACAATGATATCGCGTGTCACTAAACACAGGTATGGGAATTCAAAGTTAATCGTCCTTGCTTTTTTAACACTGAGTTTTTTACTTTCTACGTAGTACTTAATCAAATGTGATAGCATTGATGTAGTCAGGTAGCAACAAGCCGACTTGATTGATTCTAAATTATGGACAATGACAGATCCATTACAATAAAAAAATCACAATGTTCGTTCACAAAATGGTGAATTTATTATCGAGGAAAAGTGACTTTACTTTTTCAATCATCCATTGAGGATCGTATTCGTATGTTTATTATTTATTATTAACATAGAAATATGTTTCCTTATTTTTAGCCTCAACTAATCGCCTCGTCTGGTTACCCCGTCGAGAAGCACAGAGTGACGACTGAAGATGGCTACATACTGCAGATCTTCAGGATACCAGCCGGGAGACGGTCAGCTAGAAGGTCTGGTCCCAGCGCCAAGGGCAAGAGAGCTGTTATGATAGTCCATGGCCTTATGGGGAACAGCGGGAATTTTGTTATCATGGGCCCTCAGAACAGTCTAGGTAGGTCACTCCTTTTTTGGTATTATCAGAACTTGGCAGTGTTAAAAAAATTGCCGAAAATAAATTAACCTAACAGCTAAAAAGCCGTTTTGGGGGAGGCCTATATTCAGCAGTGGACGTCATGGATGATGATGAAAAAGCCCTCAATGTGAGGTCTATGCTATGACCACTGGTTGAGGTGAAATAGGACCTTTGGCGTAGGTCAGTTGAAATATGGCTGACGGTAACAATCAATTTCTTCTAAATACCTTAATAACTGGTTTCCCGAGAAACAGAATGATACAATTTTACCGTTTCATTTTCAGGATACATTTTAGCAGACGCGGGATATGACGTATGGCTCGCGAACTTACGTGGAAACTTTTACACGGCGCACAAGAATTTGACCCGGAACGACCCAGCCTTTTGGGAGTTCAGGTATTACCAACATTTTATAATTTTGATTACAATCATGATTTGCAATCCGTTGATTATTATCACTATTAAAACCAAGTTCAGTTTTAAAATTATTTAGAAAATGTTTATTATTTGGGGCTCACTGATGACCCCTACGCGACACGCCGTTTAATGTTTTGAGTATGCATATTAAATCACTATGTTGTCACCATACGACAAACCCTGTTACTTCTAGACTGGCTGATAGGTGTTGGAGATAAAAAAAAATCATAATCCATTTTTTTTTTCAGCTTCCACGAACATGGCAAGTACGACGCACCGGCCATCATTGACAAGATTTTGACCATCACTGGCTTGTCAAAGGTCTTCTACATCGGCCACTCCATGGGCACCACAACGTTTTTCACCATGCTGTCCCAAAGGCCGGAGTACAACGATAAGCTGGTGGCCTTCGTGGCTATGGCTCCGGCGGTCTACATGAGCAATATGAAGGCGTTCGTGAATTTCTTCTTGAAATCATTTGATTTACTTGTGAGTACAGAGTTCAGATTCTTGACAGCTTAATAGGCATTGCTTGTTTTATCAACGCCTCTCAATTTGGCACGATTATTTAGTGGTTGTCAATCATACCACCAACTGTCTAGTTAGAGTCTAGGATCTAGACATAAGGTAAAACTGGCTAGATCTCTTAGGAAAAAGTTTGCTGTAGAAGGATATGACACTTCAAAACTTTAAGCTTCAATTGCACCACCGTAACTTTAATCGTAACTATAACCCGTGTTTTTGTATGGAGTTTGACAGACATTTGACGTTTGGTATAGATAAAGTAACCCAGGGTTAGTGACTTTAGAGGGAATTGGCGTTAACTAAAGCCTGGTCCGTGAGCACGTAGAATTTTGTCCAATGACCCCAAGCTACCCATCCTTATCGCTCGCGCGTAATTATGTTGCTGTCGCGCTCGCAAACTCACTGCGGGCGCCCATCGCACAGTCGCAGTCGCAGGACAAAATTCTACGTGCTCACGGACCAGGCTTTAGCTTCAAATGTTGTTTCAGAATGTGATGCGTCGTCGAGGCTATCACGCCCTGTCGATCCGTCCAGAAGTGCTGGCGATGTTCGTCGGCAGCTTCTGCACAGCGAGGCAGCCACAAACAGACATCTGCATGAGGTTTCTGTACGCCATCGTTGGTGAAGACTACGACCTGAACCCTTGGGTAGGTTCACATTTTTTTTATCCACAACGAGGAAGCTCTTGGCCTGTATCTCACCTGATGGTAAGTGATGATCAGGCCGAAGGTGGAAGCGAGCTTCACCCGCAGCAATCCTCAACCACGGAGGAACTGGCTACCTTACCTCTAACTGCCGGAAAACAACATTTTCTTTTCCATCGTATCAACGTCACTGTGGTCTACGATATAAACAGTGCGAACCCAGTCACATTTAGCCTAGGCGCAGACCACCGACTTTTAGTTGACCGATAGTTGGGTCGGGCTGTTAATCAATATGGAGATGTATGGAAGTGCGCACATTGCACCGATTTAGTATCGACTATCGGCCGATTCTTCATACAAATTAGAATCGGGCCCCTACAAATTAGAAAGTTTGGTCGAATCGGGCCTAAGATGATATTCAGATAGAATTACAATTTATAGATCAAATAATAATATTCAAATAGAAGGAATATTTACTGAAGATATATAAAATATGAATATGCTATTGTTTATATTTTCAGGACATGGTCCCAGTTTTATTATCAAGCATGCACCCCGCGTCGTTTCGACAGGTCGAACATTTTGCAAAGGTCGCCATGACAGGTAACCAAAAGCTTTATAATCGATGCAAGACTCACTAGTTGATGGATTCCAAATTGTTTGATGAATGAAGATACATAATATTCCTAAAGCCTGGTCCGTGAGCACGTAGAATCCCGTCCAATGACCCCAAGCTACCCATCCCTATCGCTCGCGCGTAATTATGTTGCTGTCGCGCTCGCACACTCACTGCGGGCGCCCGTCGCACAGGCTTTACATTATTACACTATTGAACATTAAAGGCAACGGAAGTAGTCGATACAATTTCGAGTTTTATAACTGTTTGATTGCTTACAGATGTATTCACATCATGGGAAGACGGGCTTTACGGTGAGGTGAAACCATACAATCTGGACAACGTAAAAGTACCTGTCACCATACTATATGGAGAGAATGATCAACTGACAGAAAAATCTGTAAGTTAATATTAATTTAAACCCAGTTATTGTAGTAGCTCTTTGAATCTTTTCATTGAACTTGTTCAGTCTATCAAGTGCCAAAACTTGTCACAAGGAATAAAATGTTCTTAGAATAATGCTGCTAACTTATCAATAAATTCTTAGAAGGCCAATCAACACCTGAGGTGAACTAATATTCACACACTAATTTGCTACAGCCCATGCATTAGACAGAGAATAGTTTGATGTCAGTAGTTGAGTAGATTAGTTGAAGACCATCCATAAATGATTAGGAAGGAAGTAATTCAGAATAAGATGTAAAAAAAAGTTGTGTAATAAGTTCCTAAGTAACAATTTAACATTTAAAAATCTAAATTACCTTTTTTTACAGCAAATTATGCGACTAGTGGACCAGTTGAACAAAACAGGAGTACTGGAGTCCGTCCAGGCAGGAGGCGGTTGGCCCAAGTTCAACCACTTAGACTTTATATTTGCCAAAGACGTCGGTAAAATGGTGAACAGACCATTGGTGGAGCATATAGGTGATTTATACAATAAATATTATAATGAATGAATTTTTTGTATTATTTTAATCATTTTATATACTTTACTTTCACACCCATAGCCTAGAAAATAATATAGTTTTATGAAAGAAACTTCAGTAATTTTGTAAATACTACACATATGATAGCTACAGTTTAAAATTTCAGCTGAATTTGTAAAATAAATACAAAAATTGATAGCAAGCATTGAGTGAGTAACACTTAGTGATATAAACCAGACTCATTTCTTAGTAAAATTGCTCAAGTCTCATGTAACAGCCTACAAGGAAGTAAACTTGGCATCAAGAACTATGGGACTGTCAGCAGTAACAGGCAATCAGAAAATTTTTAGACATTTAGAAAATAAAAATTCCTTTAAGTCCACTTACCTCTGTTAAGCTCTATAAAATCAACAACAAAATAAGATAAATAGACTTCATAGGATTGCATGGAGTCAAGACACGCAGTAGTATAGTAATAAATAATGGTAAAATTAAGTAAATCCCACTTGCCTTACCCTGTTTGTCAAGTATTAGTATTTGATTGTACGATCAAACAATATCATTTTCAAACTATTTATGCCACCTGATACAACACAAACTTGAATAGAAAATTCCAAACTACATAATTTATTTAGATTCATACTTAAACTTGGGGCATAGGCCGAGCTTGTGTAATTTACACAGATGTTCTACATTACACAAATGCAAAATACATTCATCTAAATAGTAACATTAGTAACAGGTAAGTATTGGATTGCAATCCATCTGGGTTTCCCTGGATTTGTCCAAGTTTAGAGGGCGTCCGAGGAGTATCCAGGCACAGTTTCATTTGTTGTCCAGCCTAAAATTAACTCTTAGGCCAATGCCGGGCGATGCGAATTTTAAAAACATGTTGATTTGTGTGGGGTTTGAAAACGCGTTATTAACGCGTCTAGTCTTGGTTGCCAAAAGAGATGGCAACCCTAGTAAGTACCAATAGTATGGCATTTTTGTTCGATACAAGAAGCATAGGTTTGGCTTACCTTGCACACAACCACCTTGGCAGACGGAGTGGCAGTCTTCGCAACTGCAGTCTGCTGGGCAGTAGCCATTACCGACTTGGTCTCAGTGCTCAGAACACGGTTGGACTCTGGAATTAACATTTGTTCTTTATATAAAACTCGAAATGTGCACATTTCCAACAATAAATGGGATTTATTTACTCTTCTACAAAGTATGGAAGGCAGTTTGTTGTGCATAAAATTTGAAATAAACTAGCGGGATAAAAAATTACCTTTGTTAGGCATTTTGTTTGTGAATCACATAACGCGGTCTTATTTATCATCAGTATTTCGGTAGATTGGTGTTTTTATTTTATTCACACACATTTGCTTTGCAAAAAAGCGGATTTTTCGCCATTTTTTTTGACAAGTGACATGACAGATGAATGAACCGAAACGACATTTACTTTTTTTTTATTAAGGCTTTGTAGTATGCGATTTGCACATTCTAGTTAAAGGTCGCGCGGCGAGAGTTGAGGCGATCAAACACAAGCAAAGATTGTACGCCAAAGAATATGTTGGACGCTGTCTGCGCTGACGTCTTGCAAAAATCGGCATAATGGCGACAAATGCGTATCGTGGTCATGATCGCTACTATTATGTATTCTGTGTAGGCTAGGCTGCTGCTTCAAACTATATAAGTAGATGGCTACATTTCCTCAAACGCGAGTCAAACGTTTCACGAACATTGCTGTGTTTTAGTGATTTAAGTTTTAAAAATTAATAGAAAGTGAATATTTTATTATATCTAACTGTAGTTTCGCCTTTGTTAGCGCGTGAACTTTACCGTGCAGCTGGTATGAATATGATGGAGCGCGAGTCGCGCGTCGTGGTGAACTGGTGACTGGAGAGATAGAACGCCAACTAGCTAGTACTACGGTCTTGGCCCTGATTGCGCTAATTTGTATGTCTCCCATTCATTCGCGTTCCATCTCCAGTGTTCTCTAGACCGCTCCGGCCTCCGGGTGCCAACCCAACCCATGCTACGCCGCCACTGGTGGTGTGTCATTCTACAGGCAGGGCCCATTCAATCAATGTTCTCTCGCGACTTTGCGACCCATAGTTTTGGAAACCCTGCTCTAGACCAAAAAAAAAGCTCTAAAAAAAGTTAGAATACGGCAGCATAAAAAGCATATAAAAATACAAAAAACTTTTACTTATGAAGTGGGGGCCTCAACTCTCGCTGGGTGACCAAATAAATCAGTCAACAAGAATCAAGACTATCGTTTGGCTAAAGCGTCGGTTACCACTTACCGCCAATGAGCAAAAAGCAGAAAAAGTAAAATGTCATTTTATTGACATTGACAATGACACTTCGTGCCAGAGAGCAGAAATAATCTGCTTCGTGCTGACATTTCCGAAATGGATGATGGTGGTTCGTGACTCCGGCAAATCCTTTTTTTTTTTTTTTTTTTTTTTTTTTTAATGTCACAACTGTTGCAGATTTGGCCACATTAAAACACAATGCCGTTCTCAACCTCGGTGCTACCGTTGTGCACAGAATCATGTAGGAGATAACTGCAACATTGCAGAGGAAAGGTCATCGTGCCTCCTTTGCTCAGGCTCCCACCTAGCCACAGACAAAAATTGCCCGGAACATATTAGACAACGGAAAATTAAACAGGTGATGTCTCAGGAGGGTATTTCATATATGGAAGCGTCAGGACTTACACCAAAATCCAGACGTCCATATAATGACGTAGCTAAAGATGTTCGCACCGCTTTTCTCGCTTCCCAGTCCTCTTCATCACAAATTACCCAAAAACCAATCCCTAACTATACTTCTACAACTTATAGGAAGACAGTTTCTTTAAGCCCTCGTATGAGGACCCCCTTGTCAAAGGGATACGATAGAAAAGCTCATCAGTCTTTGGTTGCTGACATGCCCTCAGCATTACCCAATGGCTGTGCCTTGTTATCTTCATCGCAGACTAGTGTATCTGAAAATGACCGTCTTATCGAATCTTGCTTGTCCATGCTCACAGAAATCATCTCAAAATTCAATGACTCCTTACCGCCCAACGTTGCCTCCAAATTGAATACTCTCTTCAATAAAATACCTAAAAATATTCTTGTCCCCGACGATAAATTCGACGATGACGGACACGTGTCTGTTTCTTCAGTGGAACAGTAAAAGCGTCCGTCACAAAAAATCTGAAATAATTTACTTGTTCAATAAATACTCCGTAGCAGTGGCTGCCATCTCTGAGACATGGCTAAAGCCGGAGTCCCATTTCAGGGTACCTGGCTATGCCTGTCTCAGGGATGACAGAGACGATGGCTATGGTGGTTGCTCTCTTTTAATTAAAAAAAGTTTCACATATTCATTACTCCGCATCCCTCAGCATAACTCAGCATTTAATGCAGTTGCAGCTCGAGTAATGGATATTTCTTTTCTTTCTATATACATTCCTCACCCCTCATCTTCTTTTATTCCGGAATTACTGTCTATTTTCTCTTCTCTTCCTCCTCCGGTCCTTATACTAGGTGATTTCAACGCTCACCACTATGCGTGGGGCTCACCAAGTTGCGACTCTTTCGCAACCCAACTAATGGATATCCTGGAAGACCTTAACCTTTGTCTTCTTAACGATGGATCTCCTACTAGAAGAGTTTCACCCACTCAGGATCCAAGATCTGCTGTAGACTTGTCCATTTCTTCATCTCACCTCTCACCCCTTTGTCACTGGAGCGTCCTACCTGAAGCTTTCGGTAGTGACCATTTCCCCATTATCATTACCAAGCCTTTATCGGTAATACCTACTCCTTCAAACCCTCCTTTACTCAAATATAAATTACAGGAAGCAATTTGGTCTAAATACTCATCAGATGTGGATGAATTTCTACTAAGCCATAATGCCAACTCCTCTGAGGACGTTAATGAGAAATTGTCCGTTTTCATAGACGCTTTAACTTATTCAGCTGATTCAAATATCCCACGTAAGAAACCGAACCGGAAAAAAATTGCCCCCCCTCCTTGGTGGGACTCAGAATGCACGGAAATGGTAAAACTGCGTAAATCTGCTGAGAGGAATTTCAATACGTCAATGACTACGGAAAATTACTTACATTATCAGAAAGTTGCAGCTCGTACAAAAAGGGTCTTAGCTACTAAGAAAAAAAAGGGTTGGATCAAATTTTGTGAAAACATCTCACCTAGATCTCCTTCAACACTTGTGTGGAACAGCATTAAACGGTTTCGTGGCTCTCTCACTGGTTCATCACCCGCTTCTAATGACCCTTCAGTATGGCTTAATTCATTTGCCAATAAGATAGCCCCTCATTTTGTCCCCCACTTGAACTGTCTTCCTTCTCCGTATCTTGAATTACACAGTAGTGACAGGTTTGATCAACCATTCTCTATTCAAGAGCTTCATTGTGCCTTAAAGGGTCTTAGAGATTCTTCCCCAGGGGAAGATGGTATTCCCTACGCTTTCCTCACACACCTTGGGCCAATTGGAGAGGAGTTCTATCTTAACCTGGCTAACAGTGTCTTTATGACTGGTAACATCCCCGATTCCTGGAAATCACAAATTGTGATCCCTTTATTAAAACCAGGTAAGGATCCGACTGATGCTTCTTCATATAGACCCATCGCCTTATCATCCACTCTCTGCAAGGTACTGGAGCATATGATAAAAAATCGGCTAGAATGGCTCGTTGAAAATAAAGGCATCTTAGCGGACAGTCAATTTGGGTTCCGCAAGGCTAAAGGTACTATGGACAGCCTCAGTATCCTAACATCAGAGATACGAATTGCCTTTTCGAGGGGAGAGTTTTTGGTAGGAGTGTTTCTAGACATAACATCTGCATATGACAATGTCCAACTTCCGGTGCTCAGAAAGAAGTTACTTCGCTTGAGTCTCCCTGTGAGGTTAGTTCATTGTGCAACAAACTTGTTAATGGGTAGGACACTTAAAATCCGGTCAAATGGCCATCTTCTACCCTCTAGAAATGTATGGCAGGGACTTCCCCAGGGTTCCGTACTTAGCCCTATTTTATACAGCTTGTATACATTCGACCTGGAAAGTAGCGTTTCATGTTTCTGTAATGTGCTCCAATATGCCGACGATATCTGCTTATACTTGTCTGGAAAATCGTTGGAAGATATCTCAAACCGCTTGAACTCAGCCCTCCACTATCTCCAGATTTGGTTGGAAGACCACGGTTTATCTCTTTCAGTTCCCAAGTGTAATGCTATGATCTTCACGAGAAAAAGACTCTCTCCTGATGTAGACATTTCGTGCAATAGTCAGTCTATCCCCATTGTAGAAAAAGTTAAATTCCTCGGAGTCGTTCTGGATTCTAGAATGACCGGCATTCCCCATTTCGCCCAAGTAGCTCAAAAATGTGAAAAAGGCATCAACATTCTCAGATCCCTCTCCGGAGTTTGGTGGGGGTCACACCCCTATTGTCAAAAATTGCTGTATAATGCAATAGTCCGTAGCCACCTAGACTATGGCTCTTTCCTTCTTGAACCCTGTAGCAAAGAGGCTTTAAACAAATTAGACTTAATTCAAGCGAGAAGCCTAAGAATTGTTCTTGGTGCTATGAAGTCGTCTCCGAAGAACGCTCTACAGGTAGAATGTGTCGACCCTCCACTGGACCTTCGCCGTCAATACTTATCAGATAGATTTATTATTAAATTACTCCAAAACTCAGCACACCCTCTAATTTCCCGTCTTCAAAATCTCTTAAATTATACCTCCCGTTCTACTTGCAAATATTGGACCCATAAGGATCCCCCACGAATTGTCACTAGTNGGACGAGATGAGCAGGCGAAAACGCGAAATTTTGGAGTCGCTTGTGCGTACTTGGCAGACCAGGTGGGAGGGAGAGAAATCAGTTTTTCCCCGACGTGTCTGGGAGACTCAGCATGCGCTGGGTCGAACCAGATTATGTGACTTCTCAGGTTCTTACGGGGCACGGCTGCTTTAACAAGCGGCTGTGCAACATGGGGTTAAGGGACAGTGCGAGCTGCGATTGCGGTGAGCTCGAGGAGGACCGTCACCACATACTGTGGGATTGTCCCCCATATAGGGACATACGCGAGGAGCTGCTGCAGGGAGTCGTGCTGGAGACGCACGGCCCCGCTTGGTACCCCGATCTTAATAAATATCCTTGGACATTTTACACTACGCTTCTAGTCCCAAACTAAGCAAAGCTTGTACTATGGGTACTAGACAACGGATATAAACATACTTAAATACTTTTTTTTTTTTGTAAATACATACATATTATACATAGAAAACACCCAGTCCAATACAAACAAATATGTTCATGCACACAAATGTTTGTACTGTGCGGGAATCGAACCCGCAACCTCCGGAATAGTAGTCCGTTTCGAACCACTACACCAAACGGCCGACAGACAGTATAACGCCTGAACAAAAACAAAGGGTAATATTTTGGTGTTATACATAGATTTCGAATACGAAAAATATATAATTTAACTAATTAAGACATGACAAAAAAAACCGGCCAAGTGCGAGTCGGGCTCGCGCACAAAGGGTTCCGTAGCAGCAAATATAATAAACTTATTATGTCAATTTAATCAACCTATCTCAAAAACTATAAGAGATACTTTGATCAAACCAAAAATCGTTGAAAGAGTTAATTAGCATGCATCACCTCTATTTTTTTTAGAATTTNAAAAAAAAAAAAGATAATTAGATTAATTATTAATGTAAATATATATTCATCGTGTAATTAGTGATAGATTGTTGCTATTTTAACCGCTGCAATGGACCTCCACCGGCCAGTTGATCCTAATAAGGTAAATAAATGTAACCATATTTGTACAGCATAAGTTTCTTAATTTATTGGCTAATTTATGCCTTCTTTTTTTTTAGACCTACGAGGAATTGACCTCGGAGGAGAAACTGAGGTGAGCAATCATTTAAAATATTACATTTCACACATAAAGTTAAACATAGCCTTACTTATTGATCATGATTCATGCATTATTTTTCCATAATGTTTTATGTTTTAATATCTGATAAGCCACGACGATAGATAGTAAATATTATTGAAATTGAATCACTTGTTTCAACTACAATTTTAAAGTTTAATTTATAAATAAAAGTACCTACTTATAGCTCGTTTGGCATTCCACTTGCATCAAATATTAATATTATTAACCAGAAAGTTTCTTGAGTTGCCAGCGTTCTACACTTCTGCTTACTTTAGACCATGCAACTTTTAGACACCGAGTAAATTTTTTTTTTGATTGAAATTAAATTCAAATCATCAACATTAGAAATAAATTAATAAAAAATACATTTTGGATTGCTGATGTTAAATTGAAAAAAACTACCAGTACTTAGATAATTGATTGTATGTGTATTGATGAGGCATAGGAATAAAAGAAGAATTTTGGTGAAAACAGACTAAAACAGATAAAAATATGTCATAAGCTCCTGTTGATAAGATAAGAATGGTGTTTGTAGACAAGTGTATCTGTCATGTGTGCTATTCATTCAACTGTACATGTATTTGCTCAATAGATCAGTTCCACTGATATTTGACTTTGAAATATCTTCTTAAATTATTTAAACTCAATTTATCTTTTCCCTTGTACTTTTCCTGTTTAGTCATGAGAACAAGATGAGGGCATTGAATTAGCAATTAATAAACTGAATGCTGCCTGTCTACAGTGCGCCAGAGAGCAGAAATAACAGGAGTAGCAGCGCGCGTTTATTTCCATACAAAAAAATTTCGCCATTTCCTGAGGGGGACGAGGTAATGACATTTGTGTAACAGCTGATGGCGCTGAGACACTATCGATATTTTTGTCGATGAGAATCATTGCTCTATGGTTCATAGTCTATGGCTCGTTTAAAAAAATGATATGAATTAATTTATTATCCTATGGGAGATTCAACATTTCAGATCTCTATTTAAAGGAAAATACGCATAAGTTTGGCATTTCTTCCCTAGCACGAATACGAATTGTGAAAGTTAAGAGTTATATGAAAAAAACTAAAAAGTCATTTATATAGGCTCTTAAAAAGCACTTTTACACGTCCCAGTATTAACCCTACCACCATTACCCTACACTACCCATGAAATAGGTACCTAATATTCTTATATACCAAACATGACCCACGGCCACACTCCCTTGGCAAAGGGGATCGACTATCAGCCTTAGGCCCGGTTTCCACCAAAGCAGAGCGGTACGGAGACGAGAGATGTACGACGAAGCTGGCAGGCTATTTCCACCAAAGCGGAGCGGAGAAGAGCGCAGCGGTGCTGAGACGAGAGGAGATGCGTGAGCTGTGCGTAGCTGTTAGCTGTCAGTCTATTGCTATCTATGAAATACCGCACTGCTCCGCACAACTCCACACCGCTCCGCTCTTCTCCGCACCGCAAGGCAGCGTCAAATTCTATAGAAAATCAAGTGCACCTGATTCTTCTCCTCTTGATTCATTTCCATCGAAGCGGAGGGGAGTGAAGATGTGCAAATAAGGGAATCTGATTGGATTCAAAAAACTTCTCTGCTCCACTCCGCCTTAGTGTAAACCGGGCCTTAGAGGATGAACAGGAGGTGGCATTTTGAGCATTCATGCTCTTTCAATATTCTTTATTACTTTAGCGTATGTGAAGGTACATAGAAGGTTAGTTCAATGTCGAAATTCAACTTTCAAAGATGGTACGGAACTCTGTTTTAATTTTCTTTTGTTCGGTTTATACGTAAAATTATTTACAGGAGAGAAGTAAATCTTTCTAACAATACAATCACCAAGTCGATNGATAGAGAAAAATGGTGAAAAATACAAATATTATTTATTATTATAGTATATAATAAGATCCAGATATTGCGAGTAGTTGGATCTTTTGGAAATCTGTAAAATAGCGGGAACTTACTTAACACGTTTATTATGTCAGGGTAAATGTGATAAATTGAAAATTATTAATAATCGCCGGTTATTATGAATAATTCCCGACAGTCGAGGTAAAAGTAATAAATGAATTTACATTTATCAGTGATTATTAATAATGTATTAATACTAACAAATATCATAAAAGAGAACACCTATTGGCAGTATCAAATTGTTTGCATAGAATTTCGATTATATTGTTATAAGTACACTATCCTTAAAATATTACACAATTAGGAATTTTTGCTTTCCAGTCATTCCAGTGGCAACACTTCTAGAAATTTAGTTTTTTGCAAATTTAGAGTATTAATTAATGTGAAATAAATAAAATAATATTTACCGATGGAATGTAATGTTGTCCTTTTCAAGATTTGATGTTTCAGATCTCTTCTTACAATTAAAAACACTGCAATTCACCATTTTTATCGCAGCACGTTACTCTTCAATAGTGACATTTGGAATATGTCATTGGTGGCGCTGCAACTAGTTTTTATAAACTGAGTGAACCACTGGTCTACTTACATTGCTAGAGGGGATTGCCTGTCAGTTCCACTCCTGTTATTTCTGCTCTCTGCAGTGCGCCCATCTAAAGTCGCGCGAAATTTTATTTCTGTCGCGATCACACACTCACTGCGGCCGCCCGTCGCACAATCGCGACAGCAATATAATTACGTGCGAGCAACAAGGATGGGTAGCTTGGGGTCATTAGACGAAATTCCATCTGCTCGGCGACTGGACTTTACCAAGTCACACGAGTCCCAAGATTGCGAGGAACCAACGTTGTAATAAACACATTTGAAAAGAAAAAGTAGACAGACATCCACATGACTTTGCCATTCCCTAATCGTACAAAAACGCAACTGCTACCATGATTTTAACAAACTGAAACACCGAGTTCGTCACTGTAGATTCATCGTGAGTATCATGACAGGGGTCGACAAACGACCTTTATATTCTAGCAAAAAGCGGTAATAAAAACGGTCACACCTACAATCCATGTGCAGTCACACAAATGCTAAGCTCAGTAGGCCTAAGATGCGCGCCGTGATAACTTTTATCGACGTCAAAATGTATGGGCAAAATCGATAAAATGGCGTGATAACCGCTTATCGCGACGCGCATCTTAGGCCTACTGCTTAAGCCTCGTCAACTGTATAATGTCTTACTAAAGCCTGGTCCGTGAGCACGTAGAATTTTGTCCAATAACCCCAAGCTACCCATCCTTATCGCTCGCGCGTAATTATATTGCCATCGCGACTGTGCGACGGTCGCCGGGCGCCCGCAGTGAGTGTGTGAGCGCGACAGCAACATAATTACGCGCGAGCGATAAGGATGGGTAGCTTGGAGTCATTGGACAAAATTCTACGTGCTCACGGACCAGGCTTTACCTAATGGAAGACAATTAAATCTTTTGTTGCGTACCAGATATGACCACCAGAAGTTGCATGAGATGCACCGCGGCCACGAGTCGATGCATACCTCGATGGTGATGATCCTCATAATAACGCTCATCGTCGCGCAAGTCATCGTCGTGGAATGGAAGAAGAGACACTACAGATCTTACGCGGTAAGTTGGCGTTAAGCCTGGAATACTTGTAGCTTTAGTTCGAACTTTTATATCCCAAGATCTTTCTGTAGAACTTTTTTATTTCTTTTTTTTTGTCGCGGAGGAAATGCTTTGCGCACCGGACTTCCGGCACCCTGAAAAAAGCGCTGCTCCGTCCTGAAAACGACGGTGTATACCCACTAAAACCTCCGTGGCGTTCTGTCATAGCCCGAGTGGTGGTGTCGCGAGTATCCGGCCGTAGCCTTATGCCCGTTTTCACCATCAATCCCTAATTTTTAAGTGACCCCTATGAAAACAAAATTCCTGTTGTGTTACCATAGGGGTCACTTAAAATTTTGGGATTGATTGTGAATACGGGCATTAGACTCCCGCGACACTTATCTGTAGGAATAATCAACTCATTTAAACCCGATCATTACACCGTCTTACATGCGACAGTCGTATCACCACATTGATGATGATGATGATGAATGTAGTAACCCTACAACTGCTTTGGAATGGGACAGTAATATGGGCCAGTGCTGAGAAGAAGTAGTGCAAGAAACTCAGTCAGTCACTATTGTCAGACTCTTTTCAAAGATTTTAAGAACTTCTCAGCCTTTGCCCTCACAGACTGAGGCCCTCCAGACTCATCTTCCATCTGGCAAATGACCAACTGTATGTAACTTTTTTCCTGTAGCCTCCCAATCGGCCCCGAGCTTTAAATTGCGATGAAAGGATAATGAGCGCAATGAAATAAGAGACCCTTCAAAGCCGCAAATGCCAGTGGCAAAGCGCGCAAATAGTAGGTAATAAACTTCCAACACCACTTATGTATTTACCCTATTTTTTGAGCAAATAAATAATTTGAATTTGAATTTGAATTTGAATTTGAATAGTGACGTGCACTGACAGAAACTTTTTTGTCACCTCCATCATAAATCTCCATGGACTTGGTATGAGTGACGACTGACGAAAGAGTCACGGCGACAAAGACACCCGCGGTTCAGTTCTTGTTAACTGCGACCAGTTCAGAAATGCACTGAATTATTCCGTTTCCAGTTCTTCACGATGGTTGCGATGTGGTCTATCCCGGTGCTGATGAGCGCGCGCAACCAGTGGTGGCGGTTCATCATCGTGTGGTCCGTCTTTACGCTGCTCACCGGGCTCGTCATCAGGAAGTCGAGCTGCAAGCCGATGTCGGTCACCACGCCTAGGTAACAAGGGTCATTTTGCCGTGAGATTTTTTCAGTCTAGGCGCAGACCAGCGACTTTTTGTCCGCCGATAGTTGGGTCGGGTTGTTAATCAGTAGACAAGTATGAAATTGCGCATTATCGGCCGATTCTTCATACAAATTAGAATCGGGTCCAACTATCGGCCCACTAAAAGTCTTCTGCGGGGAATCGAGAGTTTGTAACAAAAGTGTCATGTCACAGGGCCCGTATGTGAGGTGCCGTTTTTATTGTTCAATATACCCGTATATCTACCCTCACACACTTTATACTGCTGATTAATTTTTGATATTGGTCAATAGAAAAGATATATTTTATTACACCATTCTTATTGACCCTATGCAATTTATTTCCAGATTAGTATACAAGTGGTTCTACTTAATATACAAGCTAAGTATATTCTTCGGGCTGTTCGGATACGTGGTTATGATACTGACCTTCATGGGCGTGAACCTGGTGTTTGGCCACAAGCCACAGGCGTGGATGGACGTGGGCCTCGTGTGTCTGTTCTATGGATTATACTTCGGCGTTCTGGGCAGAGACGTCGCCGAGTACTGCGCGGACAAGATGGCCGCGTCTATTGGGGTGAGTTTACTAACTCTTTCTCTCTTCTCTCTCTCTCGCTCTCCTCTCTCTCACACAGTACTGCGCAGAAAAGATGGCCGCCTCTATTGGAGTGAGTTGACTTACTCTCTCTTCTTTGTTTTTCTCTCTCCTCTCTCTCTCCCCCCGCTCTATCCTTTCTCTTTCTCCCCGCTCTCTCCTCTCACACAGTACTGCGCAGACAAGATGGCGGCCTCTATCGGGGTGAGTTGACTTACTCTTTCTCGTCTGTCTTCCTCTCCTCTCTCTCTCCCCCCGCTCTATTCTCTCTCTCTCTCTCTCCTCTCTCTTGCGCTCTTTCACACAGTACTGCGTAGAAAAGATAGCCGCCTCTATCGGGGTGAGTTGACTTACTCTCTTTTCTCTGTCTTTCTCTGTTTTCTCTCTCTCCCCGCTCTATCCTCTCTCCCTTCTCTTGTGCTCTCTCAAACAGTACTCGTGGAAAAGATGGCCGCTCTATCGGGGTGAGTGTACTTACTCTTTCTCCTCTCTCCGCTCTTTTCTCTCTCTCGCATAATAGGCACTCATCTCATTTAACACCAGATGCGATTGCGGTCAAATACCTGCCTTCTTCTTATTCGTTACGCTCTTGGCAGCGGTCGTGGTCACGTTGAGGCGTTGTTCACATCGGTTGTAGAGGCGGATACAACTCTCCGCACGATCTCCCTCCATCTCTCTCTATTGGCAGACTGTCTGGTGCAGTCACATAAGCCGTCTCCCACTGCTGCTTTCACTTGGTCGGTCCAGCGCATTGGTGACCTGCCACGCGATCGGGTTCCTTCGACTTTTCCCTGGACGACCAGTCGTTCTATGGAGTTGTCATCCCGCCTCGAGACATGTCCGAAGTATTGCCTACCTTGTTACACATTAAAAAATCATCAACTTTCAACCTATCAACTTACCTTGTTTTCGCTCAATACTTAATATTAGAAAAACTCAAGTTGCGACAAATTTCAAAAGTCCAAGTAAACAAACCCTCTTTCTGGCGCAGTCGGGTAATAAATGTGGGCAATAAATTTACAGTACTACACAAAGGAAGGCATCCCGACGCGACAGCTGGAGACCAACGTGTGTGCCGTGTGCGGCAACCAGCTGTTGGTCAACGAGCATGAAGAGGGAGTTTTAGGTGAGAATACATTCTATAAGGAAGTCAAAATACTTCCCCCTTACTAATAAAATCTATCCATAATAAGCGATAGCCCACTTCTTCTTAGTCGGGCACTCTTGTCAGAGTGGTCGTGGTTGCGCTGACGAGGTACATGGTGAGGTGATGTAGCTCTCCTGGTGATGTGCTTCCATTTCTGACGGTTAGAGGCGTCGCGAGTACACTGGACCATGGTGGACTCAGTAGCCTTCGTGATGGAATAGAATAGAAAACTTTTTATTTGCAAGAAAGGTATACAAGCAGGCAAGACATAGATTAAAACAGAGAGAAATAAACAAGTGGACAATTAACTGCTTGTGCCCCTCTGACAAAAAGGCACCCGCTGATGGCGTCTATCCAGCGGGTTGGCGATCGACCGCGTGCTCTCCTGCCTTCCACCTGGCCCTGAGCGATAGTTGCGACTCTGCGAAATGTCGCGACGACAAGCTAATAATATGATATGATCCGCGCATGTGTTTTGTCCCAATATGCGCTGTCGCTAAACGTCACTTTAAAACACTGTTCAACGAGTGTGTTTTTATTAGTAAGGGGGTTTGTATATTGTTGTTACGACAGAGGACTAGATCGCCTAAAAGATGGACAGATGGCCAGGGACAAAAGTCGGTGGAAGGGTGAAAAGGAGGCCTATGTTCGAAGATGACCCCAAATAGATAGATAGATTTTTGTTACGATATATTTCTTTAATTTGATTTGCAAGCCCAAACTGACTATGCCCTGTTAAAAATGTGGCAGCTAATGCTGAATTGTAAGCCTTTTCGGCACACTTGCGTAAACATGTTTGTTTTATTGAAATAATAGTGCGTGTGATAAATCACCGGACTGTATTGTATTATTATTAATTATTTTATACTTTACAATCGTATACACCGCCTTCAATTTTAATTATTTTAAACAACTATCATCTGGGTAGATTTTCATCTTTTGTTTGCATATTTTTTTGATTTTATTGTTAGAAAATAAACAGCATTTTATAACACATAGAATTACTAATTCAACTTTACATTTGCCAAAAGAGTTTTCACAAACAGCTCTTACATAGGTTTCGTACAATTTTCCCTTTTTGTTGTAAGTAATGTTTATCTAAAGTCCGGTTGACGAGCTGATATAATTTCTTACAATGACCCCATTCGACCCATCCTTATCGATCGCGCGTAATTATTTTGCTGTCGCGCTCGCACACTCACTGCGGCCGTCCGTCGCACGAGCTTGGGGTCATTGTACGAAATTCCACCTGCTCGACGACCGGACTTTATCTGTTACCTGTACTTACGAAGCTACCTGTCGCTTCCAGAGAACACGTACAAGCTGACGTGCGGCCACGTGTTCCACGAGTTTTGCATCCGCGGCTGGTGCATCGTGGGCAAGAAGCAGACCTGCCCCTACTGCCACGACAAGGTCGACCTCAAGCGGATGTTCACCAACCCGTATCCTTTTATAAAACAAAAATAAAATCGTTCCTTTCAACCAAATTACGTCCATTGCTTCACAACGATTCCTAGGAATGCCTTAACGGCTATTCCGACGCTTCTCGCGACCTTCAACAAATTTTCAGTCTATTACCGCTTATCTACCGCCTCCTAGTTTAGTATTAATTTATGGTCTTATGAACAGTTAGAAAATATAACATACTGAATTACTGACAGTTTTAACGGTTTGAGTGTCGGACTGCCTTCGAGTTCGATCCACGTAGCGTTTGACGTTACCTATTTTGGTAAACTATTTTGAGTACTATGCACCACGAACGACCCAAATATTAGCACTCCTCGTGCTATAATATACTAATAAGATAAAATAAGATACATTTATTGAATAAAAACTTAGCCTAAATACAAGAAACTTAAATGGGACTAAGAAATTATTTGGTTAGTAACAATATGTTAATTATCAAATTTGAATTTGAGTTTGAAAAAGGTAGTATACCTAGTCTGCGAAAGTTATCTTTTATAGCCTGACCAGGAACATAAAAACCCTCGCCATGTTGCGGAAAACTAATGGTACTAATTTCTTTTAATGGCAACAGTAACTGAAAACTTCATTGACATGTCACCTTGCATGTCAGTCTATTGTTGTCAAAGTGTAAACAAACTTTATTTTAAATGTTTGCAATTGATTTTGTGAATTAAATTGCTAAAATATTTTTATAGTCGTGAAAGAAAAGTGGTTCACTATGTGTTAAAGTATTTGTCGAAGAGAAATACTTAGGGTTCGGACAATATTTTCATTGAATAATGTTTCCGACAAAGGTTGTCAAATTGACTGACATGTTTATCGTATAGTACAGTCCACTATGAAAATTAGCTGTAGTCTGTTTCAACTACCTATTTTAAAGTTTTTTGTCACTTTCTAAGTTTTGAATTTTATGGAATTGGGAAAGAAGTACCGAGTTTGAAGCGTTCATGAGCAGACATTGCAGTTGAATATTCAAGTTCTGAATTTGATTATTGATGAATAAATAAAAATAAATCCTACTAGCTCGATTGATGGTTTAATTTAATTTATTTAAACCAGGTTACCTTTAGTAATATTTTTCGTTAATTTATGAAAATATCAAATTAGCCCGTAATCCTGAATCCTGATACATAAATTTAGCCTATTAATTTAACACATGTACGACTGTACTCAGTGTTGCACTATCAAATGCAATTGAAGCGCCTCTATGCCAGGGTTTTTATGTTCCTGGTCAGGCTATACCACAAATTACTAACAATCTTTTTAAAACATATAACTCCTTAACGTGTAATCTAGCTGGGACCGGCCGCACATACTGTTCGGACAGCTACTGGACTGGATCCGCTGGCTGGTGGCGTGGCAGCCGCTTGTGCTGTTCATGGCGCAGGGCATCAACTGGCTCTTCGGCCTGCAGTGACTCAAGCCCCGCCCACGACCCACAAGTGACAGTAAGCACCGCCGACGACCCGCGACCACCTAGGAACAGTGAGCTACAGTACCATATAGTGACAGTGACAGTTGTAAGGACCACCAACGACCCGCATCTTGATTACCGCCTCAATTGGCTCTTCGGCCTGCAGTGACTCTAAGCCCCGTCGACGACCCACAATTGGCGACCGAGGAATAATAGTTATGAGCACCGCCGACGACCCACGACGACCTAGGAGCAGTGACAGCTACTAGTACCACATAGTGACAGTGACAGTTCTAAGGACCACTAACGACTCGCATCTTGATGAGCGAGGAATAGCAAGTGATAGTTGTAAGCACCACCGACGACCCACGACGACCTAGGAGCAGTGACAGCTACTAGTACCACATAGTGACAGTTCTAAGGACCACCAACGACCCGCATATTGACGAGCGAGGAATAGCAAGTGATAGTTGTAAGCACCACGGATGACGCACGACGATCTATGAACAGTGACAGCTACTAGTACCACATAGTGACAGTGACAGCTCTAAGGACCACCAACGACCCGCATTTTGACTGAATAGCAAGTGATGGTTGTAAGTACCACTAATGACCTAGATCTTAATCACTAAAGAACAGTGATAGTTGCTGATAATAGGCCATGTAGTGCACAGTGACAGATGTAAGGACCACCAACGACCCAAAATTGACGATTGAGGAATAGTGACAGATGACCCGGATGATGATGTAACATCCCTAGTTTGCACCCTTCGAGCTTGTCAACCTAAATTACCAGTGAGCTTACCTTCAGTTTACGTTAGGTGTGCTCGCTAGCGAGTACGTCAAATAAATGTATGAAAATTTTAGTTTTTAAAAGTAGTCGCTAGGGGCGCTGCACAATATGTCATACATTTAATGTAATTTTTTACACAGTCGCTAGCGAGCACACCTAACGTAAACTCATGGTAAGCACACTGTTCTAAGCTGCATGACAACAGTCATTGTTACTAGTAACTGTCCATGTTCTATGTGTCAAAAGTTCACTCCCTATTTTTTACTTTTATGTTGTCTGTATTCGACGGTGAATGGGTTAACGCAAAATGTTTTTCGGTTTTGTAAACACTTGTGTGGGTTTGTAATGGTTGTAAGTACAATGTCAGTTTGACAAGTGAACAGCGAGAACGGATGTTCTGGAGGCGTATAGTTCCAAAATACTGGACTGTCCTGTCGATGACATTGACAGTGGGGCGCCACCGTCAATACCGGATCGCTGGTTCAGATTTTTGCCATGTTGGAAACCATATAGTTGAACGATGGTAGCGCCCCCCTGTCATTGAGTTTGGTGGGACAGTTCAGCGTGGGTCATCTATAGTGTGAGTTTACGTCAAACGCACTCGATGTCGATTGCATAAAAATGTGACATTAAATGTATGACGGATTTTACAGCGCCCCTAGCGGACTTTCAAGAACAGAAATCTTCATATTTTTTTTAACGCGCTCGCTAGTTACGACGTTTGAATTTTGATGTAAACTCACACTAAACCCTCCGGTCGTACTTTAAACAAAGTAGCTAACGTAACAATTAGGACTAACATGTCAATTATTTACATATTTGTCATGGTTGTGTGTTTGCAAAATCATTACTATTCATTATTATGTTTACATTAACATAGTTATTTGGTGCGACATTTCGTGGACGACACATACAGTCGGCGTCAAATAATTCATGACACCCAAAGCGGCCAAAAAGATGACAACACAACCTTATTCCAATGAGGGCTATCGTTTTTATACTTAACAGTTGGCACCCCTGGCGATTGACAGGACCTTACTCTACAGTGGCGCCATCTTGATGAGCGCAAATGCGATAGTCTTCCTACCACTTTCGCGCTCACCAGTCGGCGCCACTGTCTTCGCTACTAGCAAGTGACAGAACCTTACTCTACAGTGGCGCTAACTGGTGAGCGCTAAAACGATAGCCCTCATTGTAACAAAGACGTGTGGCGAACTTTCTGGCTATTTCGGTGTCACGAACTATTTGACGCTGACTGTACTTGCGGAAATAAATTAATAAAAACGAATCAGTCACGCATCGGTTGTCACGGATTTTAATAACAATACTGACGACGGCACATCAAGCTACTTGCTCTGGGGTCTTATGTAGTTATAGAAAGAGCGACTTTGCAACAAAAAGTGTGCCATTTGTATGACCGGGGCGTGCGTGGGGCCTCCGAGAGTTCATACAAAAGTCCATTTATACACGGCCCCGGAACAAACTTGACCTTCACTGGTTGGGTTTTTATTGGCGGTCAAGCTGTAAATCCTGACTACACAGGAGTTGCAGCGGTGGGAATGGTCCTTATACGGCCCACGTATGACCCATGGCCATGTTGATACACCTTAAGGCTTGGTATTTCTTCTAAAGTAGGTATTTCGCGCTGTCAAAATCTGCGCGCGCAATTCTTCGCCGAAAACAGCGCGTCAAAGAGCTCCCGCCACAATTTCCAGCTACACAGTATAGAAATACGCAGTTGGTTAGGTTAGGTTGACTTCCTTCCCTTCAAGCGTCACACTCACAACACTTTCTAATAGAAATCATATCCAAGTGATACAAATTAAAACACCTTTCAGACTTTTTGGGAATATATTCTAGAATCGAATAAATATAAAATATAACTGCAGAAGTAAACACGGTTCAAAGTGGCCGTGGCGTCGCCCGACCTTCTGGAAGTTAAAAACTGACACGCGTCCGTCCTCCGTAAGCGCCACCGCGCGACTGATTGAGATTGTCCAAGCCGTCATGGGCGATTTTTTCCACATTTTTTAACATAGTAACTAAATAAGACGCAATATAAAAATTTCATCCGTTAAAAGCCCTCAAGTTATTTCTGAACTTTAGTTTAGTAAAAGATTCAGAATCTCAAATCGCTTATTTTAAAAATAAAACCATAATTAGAAAACGAATAGAGGTAACTTTGGGAATTTATTCTATCGAGTCAACTTCATCAAATCGTGTTTCCATCCGTTAATAGCCCTAGAAAATATCCTCAACTATGCCCAAAAAAAATCTTAGCCTTTTATTTTACTGTTTGGTACCTCAAAAATGAAAAATGAAAACCTCATTTTCGCCATTTTCTCTGTTACCCGGCCTTAAGGAACTACGATCTCCTGTTTACGATTTTTATATTTATAATATCCAACCTTAAAGTAATTTTGTACAGATTTTAGGTAGACGATCGATTATGTTGGAATTGTTTTATAGTTAACTTGCTGCTTCGAGTATACAGGGTCAGTATGATTCTGTCTTAGTGTGATCGGGTCCTAAGCCCAGTGTATAAAAATATTCAACATGCTGTATAGTTTTTTTTTACCGTGTGAGCACTGTTAACATCGTTTCTGGCTCGATTGAAATGCCTTGGTTTTTGCACATAAATGTGGGTTTATTCACAATTTCTTTGATGTGCGCATTTAGTTAAGTATGCCAGTATTTTCTTTCATTATAGATTTAGAAACAACTTATTCCAAGCACTAGACAAGACACGAAGCTCTTACATATTTTGTATTGAAACTGAAAAGTATAGAAAAAATATGTATTTAATTTCAAATATTGCACATAAATACCGTTTCGTCAGTCTTATTTCCTTCGTGTATGCGTTCGTTTGCATTATATTCACACATTAACGTAGAATTTTAAACAATTTAAATCCGTACCGCGTGGTTTGTGTGTGAAACGCACGCTCTTTCTTCATTTTTGTACTTCCTAGTACTTATTCTTCCTCTGAGTTTCAATCTAACACAAAATCTATCTGCCTTTTTATTGCAGTAATATTTTCTTTACCGCAAACCACTTAGATATATTTGTTTTGGTCGAAATCGAATTACTAGTTGGCGCCACTAGTAATGGACAGGACCTTTCCTACAGTGACGCCTCTCGGTGCATGCAAATGCGATAATTCTACTGTTTCACGTTCACCAGTTGGCGCCACCGTCTTAGCTAATATCGAGTGACAGGACCTTCCTACAAAGGCGCCAACTATTGAACCCTCATTGCAGGGGTGACCAAACTATTGACCCGTGAGGCCTACTTCTGCTCGAAAATATTTATTGCGGTCGACTGCAAGGCTCAGTTTAAAAGAGTGAAATGAAACATTTTTTCATTTTCAATCATTCTTTTTAGTTTATTTAACTCTCGCGGGCTACCGCGGTCGACATCTTGGCCATCACTGCCTTATTGTATCAATCCCCATTATGCTACTAAAGGATATCTTAAAAACTGAACTTCTCAAAATAGGGATATCTCTTAATGTGGAGTTCGCAAAATTATAAAGTTACAGTGACTACAAGTACATCACATTATTAAATATAAGCTTGAAATAATTTATTATGGATTTTCTTCACATGTGTACTTACAATACAATGAAATAAACAAACTCACCTTGAATTTTATTGTTAATGGCGTCGTCATACAAATTAGCAACGAGTTGTATTACTAATGTGAATTGAATGTAAATAAGTATTTAAGTTAATATGTATAAGATATTATGTCTATTTGGTTGGCAGGTTTTTTATAAATCGTTTTAGCTATGTTTGTTTAATTTATGTATGCGCTTAGAAAATTGATTTGAATAATAAAATTAGGTAAAGCCCGGTCTCTGAGCACGTAGAATTTTGTCCAATGACCCCAACAAAATTCCAGACAAAATTCTACGTGCTCGGCGACCAGACTATAGATGTTTTTTGGTCAAGTGCGTGTACTCTCGTTCTACAGACTAATTTAAATCAGCCGATTCATCCGCAAACAGTACAATTGATGAACAGCGAAAAATTGTGAAACCATTTAATTTTATTTTCTGATTGAAATCGTCTCTTATTCCATTACCTATCGTTCATTTAAAAAGTATTTAATTTTCATTAATTTATTTTAGTGTTTAAAGTAACGTGAAAAATTACTTAGAACAAATTCTATTTTTCTAACCCCCTTACTAATAAAACTTACACGCTCGTTGAACAGTGTTTTATTAAAGTGACGTTTAGTATGGAAATGTCATTTTAAAACAGTGTTCAACAACTGTGTAACTTTTTATTAGTAAGGGGGTAAATAAATATCTAGTTGTGAAGATATATTTATTGTGCCTTTTAAGTTCAATGTCGTGTTTTAATTTGTTCCTGTTTTATTTAGATTTAATTATGAATGTTATGTAATTTAAAATAATGTATACAAACATACGCACATACAACCCGATCGAGCTAATTTTGCACTTCGCTGATATGCGACTCTCTCTCTCACTTAGGCCTCAGCCTCGAACTTAGCGGGCAGCGGGGCGGGAGCGGCGGCGGCGCGGGAGCGGGGCGGCGGCGGCGGCGGCGCGGGAGCGGGGCGGGTAACGCAGACCCGTTCTCGAAACCAGCGGGCAGCTCGCTCGGCGCTTTAGCGGCGAAGTGTTGTGTTCGGGGTTGTGTTGTCGAGATATTTGTTTTTATTCGCAAACGAAATGTCTGAACAACTGCGACAATTTTATTTCGATTCAAATTTATTCCTAACGCTCGATTTATTGTGGGCAAAAGAAGGAGTGCGCTCCCCGCTCGATGCCCGCTCCCTCGCCGCTGCCCGCTCGTTGCCCGCTGCCCCCCCGCTGCCGCGCCGCTGTTTTCGAGAACCGGTCTATTTGATTTTACGCATAAGATCCTGCCGCTCCCGCGCCGCCGCCGCCGCCGCCCCGCTGCCCGCTAAGTTCGAGGCTGAGGCCTTACACACCACCCCGCGTTCGCCCCGTCCGTACCAGAGCGTCATTGTGACGTCACGGCAGCCAGGTGCGTTAACTCGACCGGGTTATAATGTAATGCCTTCATTTCAAATGTTTCTTGTATCTTTTATACAATACTAGCTGACCCGGCGAACTTTGTTCCGCCTTAATGGCAATAAATAACGGGATAAAAAGTATCCTATGTCCTTCTCCTGGCTCTAAACTACCTCCCTGACAATTTTCAGCTAAATCGGTTCAGCCGTTCTTGAGTTATAAGTGGAGTAACTAACACGACTTTCTTTTATATAATAGATTTGTAATCACCCCTATTTGCGCCTAATGCTTCAACCACAGCAACGCGTGCAGATCGCCATCGCCAGAGCGATCATAGAGAAATGAAGCTACTAACCAAATGTTTTTATGACCTCAATGAATATTTTAATGACAAGTAAACTAATGTAAAATTGACATGTAAATGAAATGAAATCCAATTAATGTAATAATTTATGACTACTATAATTTTATACGTCCGAAATCAATTAATAATTTTAATGACAAGTAAACTAATGTAAAATTGACTTGTAAATGATATTAAATCCAATTAATGTAATAATTTATACTACCAAATATTGTACGTCCGAAATGGACAATTCTGTTGATACCTTGACATGCATGTATTATTTTTAACGACCAATGTACTTACACAGAAAAGACAATAAATGATTATCTTATCTAATGACAGGTCGCGTGAACTGTCATGGGTCGCGCGACCTGTCATTGGCTTTTGATCGCGCCGGCGATGACGATCAGCATGCGTTGGTGTGGTTGAAGCTTAAGTTTCAAATAGGCATACCATCTGCTAATTTGGCTGGTTACCTCGATGGAATTTGAACCTTAAGTCCTTAGTATTATTGTTAAAATCTATTGATTGTTTGAATTTTGAAAACTACTCTTGTGTATTCTTATCCAAAATCTTATAGATATAGATTACTTGCAAATTATGTCGTGGAATTTATATTTATTTATTAACTTATTGTGTACTCTAAGTACCTGCTCCATTCCATGTCTTGAATAACCTACAATAAATTGAATTATGTATATTATTTATCCGTAAGATGTGTATGTATAGTGTTACGATTTGTAGTTTTTTTGTACAAAATAAATCTGATTGAATATTTTGTCAGTGATGCGTTTTATTATTCGATTTCGAAAACAAAGATGTGTTCTATAACAAGGCATAATTTCGAGCGAGCGCTAAGCTAAGCGATAATAACTATCCCTAAATAAATAAATCTAACTTCATTTTAATGCATACAAACAAAAAATATTTATCCAGCGATGGGATACGCGACCGTTTTTTATTGGCGTGTTTATTGGTAGATCCTGGCTACACGGGAGTTGTAGCGAGGGAAGGCGAGGTGGGAATAGTCCCGTTATTCCCGTTTTTTCCAGCGATACGTTATACGGTGAACGGTTGCATTTTAAATATTTGATTTAATAGACTACACATGTGAAACTTTTTGGTTTCAAAAACTTCACGACCTTTTTTCTAAAAATAAAAAACTTCAGAAGAAAAAAACCGCCGTTCCAAATCTAATTTGTAATCACTGTCAATTTCATTGTTTCACAAAAATGCGGTACAAACTCACCACCGTCAAATCAAAACAATGTAAGTAATCTAAAAGAAATCAAAATTAAAAATTGATGTTAACGATTGATTTGGACAAATTGTGCGTGAACCGGCGCGATGTTCGCTTCGCCCGCTCGCTGCTGCCTGGCCGGCTGCCGGGCACACGTGATGCCTGGCAGGAAGAGCCACTTGGTGCAGGCTGTCACTGGATATGGTAAGATGTTTTTATAGTTCTTCATTGTCTAAAGTTGCTAGCTTTTATCTGAGACTTCGCCCGCGTTAATTTTAGTCTGTCTCAAAATTTTAACCTGCCTCAAGATATTTAAAATCCTCTGACCAAATTTTTTGGCCTTTTCTTAAGAGCGTTGTCACATTTTTCATGCAGAAATCGAGAATTTGGCAGATTTCGAAATGATTTTAGTCATATTATTTATTGTTATAGCTTCTTTTGACTTATATCATCGTAATTATCATACGTTTTTACGGAATGTCTATTGACAAAATCTCGTTCAAATTGGATTTTTGCCTACGAAAACAGCGAATTTCGAAAGCCCGATTTCCAGGTAACTCGCGAAGGCACAACTTTGAACTAATATTACAACAAATTTATTTCTAAGTAAGAAGATAGAATGTATTCATTAGAATAAGCATACCCTGAAGAAGAAAGTGTATTGAGAAAATTTTGATGTTTAATTCATTAAAATGCATTTTTATCATGTCTAAGATAGTCAAAATTCGAGAAAATTACTGCAAGAAAACAGGTCACATCTCATAATCTAAAAGTCATTTGGCAACATAAACTACTTTATACTTAAGAAGAAACATAGTACTATTATTGTGTGAAAAAGAAAAAATATCTATCTTCAATCTTCAAATGAAAAATTAATTTGAAAATACTATAAAATCGGGTGCATCAAATGGCATAAATCAGTCGTGCTTTGGCACTCGTAGACGCCGGGTCTATGTCAGTTGACTGCCCACTGACGTATATGCGTCACGCGTGATTTTTTCGTAAATTGTAGTATGATTGAGTACTTTTGATCCGCAAGTATTTTTAATTTATTTGTTTAGGTAAATCGGACTTGTAATTTCTTTCTTTTCAAACTTTTTATTATTTTACTTACAGAATATGGGTAGAATAGATAAAAGATATTATTATGGTATCTGTTTGGTCAGGAAAAAATAAATGACTAATAAAAATTTTAACAGGGTGTCAAAACATTAGTCTATGCTATTGTGTTTCTACCAACATAAAATATACTCTTCCTTACTAATAAAAGTTGAATAGCGTCTGTATGGTCACACAACGCTTCGTCATGTTTTTCCGAAAGTTCAATTACTGACGACTGAATGAAAGAAATTGGTGCGTAACTATTCATCTGATATTAAACGTTTAGTAATAAAGGGGTAGGTCAGGTAAATGGCAAATCCACCAGCGGTCGCTCGATGACACTTAGACAAATAGTTTTATAAAACGTCAACTAAGTTGGTTAGGTATTTGTATTGTAGATACTTATACAAATGAACGTATAAAATGAGTTTATTTTTAAAAGTATAGGTACAGGGTGGAAACGATAAGTGATTTCACTTGATTTTTAATTATACAAGATATCGAGAAACTGTTTACTGTTCCTGTAAGTGCTTCATGAGCTCTTTAAAACAATAACAATAAATAGGTCAAAGAATAAACTGGATCTATGCGAAAATTCAATGTTTCCGAATTTCATACTAAATGTATGCCGCCAGCCATACCTACCATATTAGAAGTGTTAATTTTTTAAATTTAAATTTTTAATTGAGTAATATATAATAATCAAACAACAAACTCGTAAATTGCATTCTTATTTAAATTATTTACGGAAAACATGATTTTAGGTTTAACTTGCTACAATATCATCAAGAGATACTAATTAATAAATACTAAATAAACAGATAAAGGGGACGGCATTAAGGCACTCAGAATTCTCAGAAACCATTGATTTCGTGTTTGTTTGTAACTGTATTAAATGTATGAAAGCTGGAAATATAGGTTTTTTGAATAGATTCAGTTCGTTCTTAAACATATTATTGATGCCGTTTGCTAGGTCTCATGAAGCACTTTTTCAGTAAGTAACCATTTGTTCGACATCTTGTATACCTACTATAAGAAATATTCGAGTGAGATCACTTATCGATTATTTTCGTCATCCTTATTTGTATTAAATTTAATTAAAATACACTAAGGCTGAGATGCACCACCTAACTTTGACCCTAACTGACAATAACCGGTGTTTTATGTTAGACAGATTTTTGACATCCAAAATTTTGATGTCAATGTTAAAGTAAGACGGTGCAACACGGCCTAACAAATGTATCGTAGACAGTACTTTTTATTTTCTTCATAAATCTTTCTTTTCTTTGTAAAGCTATCTACAAGCTTTTATTTTCTTTGACATCTGGAGTTGTAAAATCTTGCAACTTAAAATTTACTTACTTCCCGTTTTCCCATTGAGCTGAAATTTTGCATGTCTACACAGGCATGCAAAATTTCGTTTCATTTCGCACTAAATAATTTAATTTACACGTGTTTTCATGCGATGGCCAAGTCAATATATTTATGTAAAACGTTAATGATTTCCTGGACTGGACTTGGTATTACATGGATCTCACAACTTTTTACCGTAGAACAACTGAGTAGTGAGACTTGGTTTTTTGACAAGTATTGTTTTTGATGGGTTTGTATTACAGAACGCATGTGTACCTAATGGGATAACTGTTTAAAAACACGATTAGATAAATTTTGCTCTATGGATAAAAATCTTAAAGTTACCTCTGATTTTTTAGCATTATACGACCGTGGTTTATAATAATAAATTCTATAAAATCACAATGATATCAGTATTTACCTCTTTGATTTCCTGACTTGTTTAGATTTACAAAAACTAAATATTTATTATTAACTTTTAGATAATAATTTGAATGGCGCTTACGATGTTTAGTTACGAGCTCTTTGATGGACACAGATATTATAGATAACGTTTAAAAAATGGCACGCTCGTTTTCATACATTTCATTATATTTATTTAACCTATCCATATTTATGTGCGGAAAGGTCACAAAATCAGAATACATTTTAATTTTTCCATCCCGCATCATAAAAACTAAAAAGTCAAAAGTAAAATTTAAATAGTAAATATTTTTCATAAACAAGCTTTTGATGCTGTAAAAAGAATAAAATAAAACATAAATTCTTTCAAACCCATCAACTTATTACTTTACTCAATTTAAGGAATCAAAACTTGTCGCGGGATTTACTAGTGAAAAATACATTAATTACGTAACTTGATTTTGCTAAAAGTCTGATCTGAGAAAAAATCAAATAGGTAAATTATACATTATTTCTTTATTATTATGTATGATGTACTGTCTTAGGTACGATACAACTACGGATTAAGATCGTTTAGTCGACGCAGCGTTGAAATTGTACAGATAAATTCAGTTTGCGCACTCACTACGCGACGTCAAGCAATAAAAACCTAAAATTCGAACGCCAACTTTTTGCTACAACGCTCTTAAGTTACTAGCTTTTGCCCACGACTTCGCCCACGTCAATTTTGGTCTGTCTCAAAAAGAGTATTTCGCGCGCGTGTATCCTTTTCAATTGCTTTCAAAAATCGGGATAAAAACTATTCCTGTCTTGGCATTGAAGTAATATTACTAGCGTACGAAGTTACGTAGCGTGCGTATTGAAGTAATATCCCCTGGGTCATGGGCCATCATGGTCCATACCATGGGTCTCATTCTGTTTCCTTAATTTAAACCAGAACAAGTAAGAGACAACATACCTATTTAGATGGATAGGTGAACAGTAAGGATTGTGTTTAGAATCTAAATCTATAAAAGCGAAAGGTCAATGACTAACTCACTCACTCACGAAATCTCAGAAAGTACAAGTGCTAGGAGTCTCAAATTCTGCATGGGCGTTTCTTTTAAAACGTAGGTGCTCACTAAGACAGGATTTTGCAAAATTCAATCCCTAAGGGGGTAAAACGGGATCCATGCGTACGAAGACGCGGGTGGCCGCTAGTAATAAATAAATAGCCAATGGTATCAACTGCGTTATTCCAGAACTGAGAACTATTTATGAAATAAGCTTTTTATCGAACAAAAAAAATGTATACCCACTTCTAAACTAGGTATAACCGTCTCATCCTTCCAGGTCGCAGAGGCAAGCACGACAAGGGCTCCTGCTGCAAGGACATAGCCCAGACCGAGGGCAAGCGCGTGGAGCCGTGGCCCAAGAGTGACCCCCCGCCGCCAGCCTGGCGCTGCGAGTGCCCCACCGAGCCGCAGCCCCCCAACTATGACCCCTACAGGATCAAGGTGCCGGACGTCGTCGTGCCCCCCCTGCCCCCTAGTAATGCCAAGGTAAATAAATCTGATTATTGAGCGTTGAGGCGTTGTGCGTACAATAATTTTCCCTTCACCTATTGGTGTAAACATCGTTAGCTTTCTATCAAATTTATTGTGAGCACAAACCTGAATTAATGTCTGATTAATATTGTACCATTTGTACCAAACAACTTGAATTACATTTTATGCTTATGCATTAAAGATAAAATAGGTATCTGAATTTTCATTTTTGCTTTTATGAAATTATACATATTCAAAATGATACCATTAGATTTTTTTGAAGTAACGTATAAATCACATTCATGTAGGACAAATTGCCCTTGCTTGAAATATATTTGCATTATATCCATATTACTTTGCGACACGTGTTTCGAGTGCGTTTGACGAAATCAGAGCCCCACGTCGTGGATATGAAATATCTAATGAAATCCAGCTTGTGCTTTCTTCATCAGCCAGTCGTTCTCACCACGGGACACCACGGCGATCAGAACCAAGGCTTCCAAGGTCAGCAGGGGTACAACCCGCAGAGCTTCCACCAACCCGAGTACCACCAACAAGGCCAGCAGGCTAAGGAGGAGGAGAGCGAGGGCTTCCTAGCCATCCTCAGAAAGTGGTTCGGAGGAGGCAAGAGCAAGGACGAAGGCAAAGGCCCCAGTGACTCCATGATGACGGAAAACCACCACTGGCATTACGTCCGCAACTAAACCCCGGTAAGGACTTTGAAGACTCAAGAGATAGCTTATGGCAACTGATTCGTCCAACGCACTTAAACACACCTCTCAGATCGGCTCTCACTGTGATTTTTCGACAGGAATTACCGAACGAAGACGGCAGAGAGCTGTTCAAAGACCCACAGTTCAACGTTGGCGGGACGTGCCCGGCCTCCGTCCAGGATCTGTTCTTCAATTCGCCGATCGTTCACCCCGATTACTGGAAGCCAAAGCCGGAGAAGAAGTTGCAGGAGTTTGTGAAAGATGCGTTGCCCAAGTTAGGGTATCACGGTAAAAGCAAGTACAAATACGCGTTCCACGAGCCCTGGAAACCCCTGGACAGAATGTCCCTTCTGGAACAGGCGGAAAAGGAGGAGACGGGGCCTCCTGACGAGTCGCTCGAGATCGACAAGACTGACAAACAACTCACATGAGGGCTCTGATTTCTAACGCAAAAATGAAACAAAAAAGTGAAAACTCAAAATTACATGTCGCCGTCTTCTGGTATTTAATAAATCACTTTTTGGCCCATTCAGTTCCATTATTTATTGTAGTTTGGCTTTGTGAGTATTGTTTTCATTTAAATTAAATGTTAGGTACACAGAAGTATTACAAACCGTAGGTAGACTTTCAAGTAGGTAAACTATAAAACATTTTATTTCATATTAGTCTCCATATTTTAGCGTAACACTTTCCTATACCCGTGATAAGACTAGAATTTTATTTGAATCGAGTCAATACCCTACACAGTTTTAATTTGATCTTTATGAAGACCGTTGAGGTAACTACAGAATTTTATTTGGATCGGCCCTACACAGTTAATTTGATCGAAGTAACTACAGTCCAAAGTTAGCAGTTTTCTTTAACAACTACAAGAATAATACTGGTTAAAATGGTAGGCAGATGTAGCCCCATATTTGACATATACACGCTACGAAAAGACGGGTCACGTTACCCTTGCAGCCGATGATAGACTGCGCGAAGACCAAAGGCCCGTGCTCGCTGAAGCCGGTCCTGCCGGCGCCGCCGTGCCCCCCGCCGCCCCCCAAACCCTTCCCCTGGATATACGTGTGGGCAGTCGCTTCGTTCTTCGGACTCATGGGATTGGTAAGTTCAATAGTTTTTAAACCTTTGGCTTGTTTCCGCCAAGGTGGTTTTTTTTTTTCGGACTGACTATGCTGATAAAGCCCGGTCTGTGAGCACGTAGAATTTTGTCCAATGACCCTAAGCTACCCATCGTTATCGCTCGCGCGTAATTATAATACTGTCGCGACTGTGCGACGGCCGGGCGCCCGCAGTGAGTGTGCGAGCGCGACAGCAACATAATTACGCGCGAGCGAAAAAGATGGGTAGCTTGGGGTCATTGGACAAAATTCTACGTGCTCACAGACCAGACTATAGCCGTGAGCGGATTTTCCAGCTTCACCGGACAATAGGTGAGCGCCGATGGCTCTCAACCTCACGCCAAGGTGGAGAGGGGCGGAGTATGTGTTTTGATAACGTAATCGGATTTCGTTATTTCCACATGTCCTCTCCGCCCAGCTTTAATGAAATCTCAGATCATAGAAGGGATCTCTCCTCTCCTCTGGATCTATTTCCATAGATCCAGAGGAGAGGAGAGACGATGTATCGAGTGGACTCATTTTTTTCTATAGAATTTGACACTTGACAGTCCCTAGTCAGTTTACAGTTACGCACAGCTCACAATTCCTCTCCTCTCGTCTCCTCTCCTCTCCGCTTTGATGGAAATAGCCTGCCATCTTCTCTTGCCTCGGCTCCGCTTTGGTAGAAACTGGGCCTGAGTCTTGGATTGGAATAACATTTTATGTCCATCATATTCTTTTTCATACTATCTACTCTATTTCTTGCACTTTATTTTAGCTCTAAAACTTCGTTTTTAACAAACCGTTAATTTAGAATTTTAAAGTAGCTATGCAATAGATATTTATTTAGTCAATGGGGCTGGCGAAATAGTTACTTTACGTTTTGACAGCTCATTACAAATATTACTGCATGGTTGAGTACGGCGCACAGTAGTTTGATTTTAAAAATAGGTGGACATACGATCGAAAGTCATAATTTCACCGAAACAAAAATTGTTTTGGATAGCATTTTGAATGCTGATCAACATTTGTCATTATACATTTTTCGATAAAACGAGCCTTTCATGCTTAAAAAAAATATGACAAGAAAATTTGTATGGAGAAAAATCATTTTTATTTTTTTTCTGGCTACTGTTGCAAACTGTAGCGGTCAAACCTTATGTAGTCGTAAGTACCTATGGTGCCGAATATTACTACATAAATACTTTTTGCGGGCACGCGCGGCGAAGCGAGTAATGGACATGCAAAATTTTAAATGGGTCCACATTGTATAACTGCCTAAATTGTAAGACCTATAAATGTGAATGCTAATGTGGTTATGCAATAAAAGTATTGAGTATTGAGTAAAGGTATTGAGTAAATATTTNCGTCAATGTCTTGTTTAATGTTTTGTTTTTTTGTATTTAAAATGTTGGTTGGAGAGGCACCCGCTGAAAACCAGCGTCGGGGCACGCGTGCATGCACGCGTGGCTCGATTAATGCTGAGCGGGCGCCTTTTTGGCACAAAATATTATGCGTGTATAGTTTTAAGTCCCTTTGTTCTGTTTTTCTGTTTTCTTTTGTGTCAAATAAAGTTTTTCTTATTCTTATTCTTATTCTTATAAATCTAACACCTTTATCCAATCATCAAACTGAGAAAAAACTGAAATCCGACATTAATCAACTTCTTCCATTCATGTCTTCAATTATGATCTTCGTTCGAAAAACAATCAAAAAAGATTTTAGCCTAATTCACTTATCTTGAACAGAGTGTTCAAAATAATCAAAGTCACTCACATACTTACTTTTTCCGAAAGAATCCAATAGGCAGTTATGCAGTACACCAAAATGTTATCACATTATCTGCATCATGTATCAGCAGTTTTTGTGTAGGTACGTTAGTTGGCATATAAAACTATAGGTAGATGTGAACATAATGGATCTGCAATAGGTACGGCTCGGAAACGTGACCTCTCAATATAGGCCTTATAAATAAGCTCAAAATTTCACAACGTGCTATGGAGAGATTGTTCGATGTTTATTTACGAGATCGAATCAGAAATGAGGAGGAGATCCATAAACGAACTAAAGTCGCTGACATACCCCAACGGATTAGCAAGCTAAAGTGGCATAATACGCAGAAGTAATGGCCGATAGGGCAGCAAGGTTCTGGAGGCCACGTACCGGAAAGCGCAGCGTAGGACCCACAAGGTGGATCGACGACCTCATTAAAGTAGCAGGAAGGCCCTAGATGCAGGCCACCACCAAGCGGCCATTGTGGAAATCATTGGGGGAGGCATATGTTCAGCAGTGGACGTCCTAAGGTTGAAATGATGATGGATGATGAATAATGTGTGGAGGAGGGTTACGGATATTCCCATTTATGATGGAATTATTCGACTAACTTGAATAAAGAGCCATAAAAATGTATTGTTTACTATATGGGTTGAAACTCTTACTGAACCCACTACCTACTGTAATCGATTATGTCAGTCAAAATGATTTAAGGGATCTATTCAGGACTACTCTAGAAAGTAAAAAAATCTTTCATAACCATTGAAGTCAAGGGTTCTTGCTTGAAGACTTATTTAATCATGTCTGTCGGTATTATAAGTGCCAAGAAGTAGGTATATAGCTAGGTAAAGGGTAGATATCTACCTAATCTACCTTACACCATAACCAGTAGGCCAGTAGTGAATATTTTATTGTCAATATTCGACTTAGGCTACCTAGTCCCTACAAACGTAGGTTCTAGTTTGAAAGGTTTTGGCGTGAAATGAGGTAATAGGGGGCTGTAGTAAGTTAGACTAAGTATATTTTTCTATTAATAATTACTTTAAGTGCATTAAAATCAATAATCCATAAATAAAAATATTTAAAATTTTGCATGTCCATTACTCGCTTCGCCGCGCGTGCCCGCAAAAAGTATTTATGTAGTAATATTCGGCACCATAGGTACTTACGACTACATAAGGTTTGACCGCTACAGTTTGCAACAGTAGCCAGAAAAAAAATAAAAATGATTTTTCTCCATACAAATTTTCTTGTCATATTTTTTTTAAGCATGAAAGGCTCGTTTTATCGAAAAATGTATAATGACAAATGTTGATCAGCATTCAAAATGCTATCCAAAACAATTTTTGTTTCGGTGAAATTATGACTTTCGATCGTATGTGTACCTATTTTTAAAATCAAACTACTGTGCGGCGTATGCCTTTGCCTTGCAAAACGAAAAGTAGAAAAATAGTACCATTAGTAAATCAACTACCCTCTTTTTGTAGAAATAGAATCGACTTTCCGGATAACGATACGACATTGACTAACGAATTTTATTTGATGAAAATTTTAGTGATTGACCTGTAATGTAAAATACATACTTTCAGATCTATAGAATCTACTTATGGAGAGAAGAAATGGACAGGATCAGCGAAAATGTTCCTATTTGTAAGTAATAACCGTTCCATATTTTATATCAAATCCAAAGATTTCAGCTTTTTATATTGACTTTGATTCTTTCTTTGTCTAAAATAGAGAAAAACGGGTCTCAACGCGACATTTTTGTTGTTGTGTGTCGTGGTAATACATAATCAAGCCCGCCCGAACGGACGACGCCACAAACCGCCAGTCTGCTTGACCACGGCTGCAACACAGCCGAAACGTCAACTTGTAACTCATTTAAAAAACGTTGCGTTAAGACCCGTGTTTCTCTATTTTACTTGAAATGGAACGCGAAAGTTTAAAATCTCTTTATCTTTAGGGCGTCCCCGTCGCAAGGTGAAGCGTCCGTACCACGACAAGGACTTGCCGGCGTGCGTTCAGTACTTGATCGTAGGCGCAGGCGCCGCCGGCTGGGCTGCCTACCGGGCCATCATGGAGCACGACAAGACTGCCAAGGTGAAGTGATCTTTATTGCTTTAGAAATAAGTCTTGAATTGAACTGTAATGGCATTGGACACTGACTCAGCTGGCCATCTTACGACAAGACTCCTAAGGTGAAGTGACCTTTATTGCTATACGAATGGGTCTTAAATTGAATTGTAACGGCATGGGACATAGACGCTGCCGGTTATCTTGGAGCACGATAAGACTGCCAAGGTAAAGTGATCTTTATTACTACAGCTATAAGTCCTACAGCTTGATCGTCGGCGCGGGCTCCGCCGGCTGGGCGGCCTACCGCGCCATCACGACAAGCACGACAAGACTGCCAAGGTAAAGTGATCTTTATTGCTGTACGAATAGGTCTTCAACTGAATTGTAATGCATCTGTACGCAGCTGGCCATCATGGAGCATGACGAGATTGCTAAGGAGAAGTGACCTTTATTGCCATCTTATGTTTTACAGCTAGCATCAATGCTAGCATCAGCATGAGCTCCATTAGGTTGCTATGCTAAATCGAACCCTATCGCTAAAAAGGATACTAGCGACTTTCGAGTGTCGTCGTCTTGCCAGCGTCCGCGTTTCACTGTTTCCCCGTTGACTGTCATATTCTGACTTATTTTGAACTTACTGCAGGTATTCTTCATCTCAAAAGAAGACTGCTTGCCGTATCAGCGCCCGCCGCTGTCGAAGTACATGTGGTGGAACCCGGAGCCGCCTGATCTGAAGACCCTCAACTACATTAAGGATGGCAGGAGAAAAACGTGAGTAGAATTAAAATCTAGTAAATATCTTACTTCCTAAACTAGTCTTAAAGACGCGCGCACAGGGTGACTTTAGTCACCGTGACTGTATGTTTCCCCGTAGATAAGAATATGCACTACGTTGTCTCTCTTTTTCTCTTTATAAAAGTGTAAAAGAGAAAGATATTGTCACGGGGAAAAAAGTAACCATCGTTCGAGCAAAACACAGTCACTGTATCTTTACAATCTTAATAGGTAAATATACAGCGCAGCGCCACACGTCAAGATATTCCTACTCCATGAAATTAGTCCTAGTTCAAGCAGCAAAAATATCCAGTGATTTATCACCTTTCATACTATGCCAATCATTTTAGCCATAGGACGTCCACTGCCGAACAATGCTTTCCATGTTGATCGATTGGTAGCGGCCTGCGTCCAGCGCTACCTTTATGATGTCGTCGTTTCACCTTGTGGGTGGACGCCCCACGTTCCGTTCCGTTTTCCGGTACGCGGCCTCCATTCCAGAACCTTGCTGCCCCATCGGCCGTCAGACTAGGCCAATGCCATCTAAAAAAATATGATTCCGGATGAAGAAACTAGCACTTATACTCTTCCATTTTTCCGCAGCATGTACGTATCGGACTGCAGCAAGTTCATGGATCCCGTGAAGTTCTACCGCAAAAAGGTGGGCCCAGCCGTCTCCATCGCGACCGGCTGGTGCGTGCTGCGAGTAGACGCTGAGAACCACATCGCCTACATCAAGACCATGTGTGGCGAGCAGCCTATGTACTATGAGCGATGTCTTCTAGCCCCTGGTGAGTCTGCCGTCTCTCTTTCTCCATAGGGACTGAAAAGAGACAACGGGACTGGTGTGGACGCGGGAACCATAGCACCTGCGTCAAGACCATGAGCGGAGAGCAGCCCATATACTATGAGCGATGTCTGCTAGCCCCTGGTGAGTCTGCCGTCTTTCTTCTTCTTTAGGGACTGGAAAGAGACGAGGGAACCTTATCGTCCACATCAAGACTATGTGCGCCACACAGCAGGCAATGTACTACGAGCGTTGCTTGCTGGCACCTGGTGCGTCAAATTAATTAATTTACCTCTAAACTTGCTGCACGACTAAAGTAAAGACTAACTCCCGTATTCAAGAACATTACTATGAGGTCTCACAGTGTGCGTGGACGCACAGGGTGACACACAAACCAATCACAGAGCTCTATTGTACTGAGCAGTGCGTTCGATTTGCTTCTTTACTTAAGCAAGCATCGTCTGTGAATACGGGCGTAAATGACATGATGAATGAATGAATATAATACGAAAATAAGGCCCTTTTCCGCTATTTCCAGGTTCGAAACCAAAGCAGCTGAGCATATTTAAGAACGCACCGAAGGCGGTTCGGGACCGCGTGACTACCCTCCGCACCATCCGAGACCTGGAGATCGCGTATCGTAAGGTGAGTTGAAAACATTTCAAAAGCCCGGTCGCCGAGCACGTAGAATTTCGTCCAATGACCCCAAGCTACCCATCCTTATCGCTCGCGCGTGTTGATATTGCTGTCGCGCTCACACACTCACTGCGGCCGCCCGTCGCACATTCGCGACAGCAATATACGCGACGCGTGAGCGATAAGGATGGGTAGCTTGGGGTCATTGGACGAAATTCTACGTGCTCGGCGACAGGACTATAGTCAATTTCAATTTTAATTAGTTGTTAATGATTTTATATGTAAGAGCCCACAGCACACACGCTATTTTTAACATCAGCGATCGGCGATGTAGCCACTTCTTAGAAGCTGAATGCAGCGACCACACATTCCACATCGCACACATAAAAACGCCAAACTCGGCGACTGAGTCGCTTATCGGAAGCTCGACACAGCGACAGCAGTTGCTAAAACGCGCAATTCCGATTATCCGATACCGCGTCCGAACGCATGAAGTCAGGAAATCGCTATGCTACATCGATACAGTCGCAAAATCGCCGATGATAAAAAGTAGCATGTCTGCCGTGGCCCTAATTACGTCAAGTTTCCAATTTAATAAGGATATGCAGGCTGTAATTACTTAATAGTCCTGGTTGATCGAATAGACAGGTCTATACAATGATTTCGCGTCATAACATAAATGCCAGTTTTATTATTTTGTAGTTTATATTAATTGACATTGTCTCTATATTTCAGGTGAAGGATTCAAAACACGTGGTGATTATTGGCGGGGGCACCATTGGCTGTGAACTGGCTTGGCACTTCGGCAAAATGAGTAAGTGTTTCTTGACTTTCACCAGATCGTCGGTCCACCTGTAGCCTAATTCACGTATTTTATTTCTGTGGTCTAAGCTGTCCTATTGAATTTGAATAATAATTAATAGTTTAAAAAACTAAAAACACGCTCTTAGTTTAGAGTTCCTATGGCCATCTCCCGACTGCATCATCATGACCCTGGACATTATGTAGCTCTAAAGTAAAAGACAAATCCACCTAACCCAAACTCGATGCAATTCCGCCATTTCGTTTAGGAGTTCCTATGGCCACCTTCCAGTCCCATCATCAGACCAGCTCGATGGTACCATAATTGTATTGTCATCTAATCTACATATAATTGCCAAGTTTCATGATGATACAAGAATTAGAAGTGCGTGTAATTCAGATTCTTAGATTCCATTACAAAGTTACATAGTTACACGACGACCTAATAAAAGCGTGTTAAAACAGTCCTAAATCCGTATTCACGTGTCATTTCGATAGAACGATTACTCGATAGGATCGCAACTCAGCGATTTATCATTTGACGTTTATTCACTGTCATCCGATTAAACCGAACTTCCAAGACAACAATTGAATACGCATAAAAACGAAATTGAAAGAAAATCGGGCGATTTACACGTGAATACGAAAAGTAACTCCAGCGATCAAATCGCTTGCATGTCGGTGTAGTTTTGTTTTGTTACGATAATTAGGCCACTGGTAGGAGACCAGCCCATCCTACCTCTTCCAGTAGCCTAATTCACGTATTTTGACAGTCAAGATCTCGCTGACGTTCAAAAGTCGTCCCATTGAAAAACAGTTCTAAATCCGTATTCACAAGGGTCATTTTGATAGAACGATTACTCGATAGGATCGCAACTCAATGCTTTTTGTCGTTGAAGTTTTGTTACGTGAATAAGGCTACTACAGGTCGTGGTCGCCGCTCAAGAAATTTTCTACCTCTGCTTCTTCCATTTGTTGGCAGACCAAGTGGTGGAGCGCAAGGAGGACCAGCCGCCGTTGCAGGTGGTGCACATGTTCAAAGACAAGGGAATCCTCTCCAGCGTCCTCCCGGAGTACCTCGGCGAGTGGGCCGCCGAGAAGATCCGTTGCGAGGGCGTCACGCTTGTGCCCAAGAGTGAGTCATTACCCCAATAGATGGAGCAGAAGACAATCTACGTACAAAGTGCGATAGGGCACCGCCCACGTAGACAACGCTGATGGAAACGATAGCGCGCGAAGTGTCGTGAATGAGGGTTATCGTTTTAGCGCTCACCAGTTAGCGCCACTGTAGAGTAAGGTCCTGTCACTTGCTAGTAGCGCGAAAGGTGAGCGCGAAAGTAGTAGGAGGACTATCGCATTTGCACTCATCAAGATGGCGCCACTGTAGAGTAAGGTCCTGTCAATCGCCAGGGGTGCCAACTGTTAAGTATTAAAACGATAGCCCTCACTCTAAGAAGAACGAAGAGTCTATCTAAACTAGTGCGAGCGTGACTGCCACTCGTATCTTTGTGCGTATGCAAAATGAAGTACGTACAGGTGATTGCCTTCTCTGTCTATTTTGTGCCTTCCCACAGCTTTGGGAATCTCTCAGCAACCCATAGCCATACCAACCATTGTGACCGAATCTTGAGAAATGCATGGGGATTTTGTACTGTGCATTCTAGTTTAGGTCAACAGTCCGCCATGCTCCGAGTACCTGGGCGAGTGGGCTGCCGAGAAGATCCGTTTTGATCCCAAGTATGAGCGATTTCCCCTCCTGCACAGCTTGTAGTATTGGTCGCATAGCATGGGCATCCTCTCTAGCGTCCTCCCGGATTACCTCGGCGAGTGGGCCGCCGAGAAGATCCGTTGCGAGGGCGTCACGCTTGTACCCAAGAGTGAGTCATTACCCCAAAAGACAGTACGTTTCTCCAGAAACTTCCTGCCCCGTACAACCAAACTGTGGAATGGACTGTCGTCTGCGGTGTTTCCGGACGGATACGACCTGCAAGCTTTCAAGAAGAGAGCGTATCTTCACCTTAAAGGCCGGCAACGCACCTGTAACGACCCTGGGACTGCGGCTGTCTATAGGCGACGGTAATCGAGGTAGGCGACACTTACCATCAGGTGATCCGTCTGCTCGTTTGCCTCCTGTCACATAAAAAAAAAACATAGGAGCAGAAGACAATCTACGTATAAAGTGCGCTATGGAAACTCCCACATAGACAACGCTCATGGAAAAAATATCGCCAATAGCGCGCGAAGTGTCGCGAACTCTAAGAAGAACGAAGAGTTTAAACCAGTGCGATCGTGACTGCCAAACGTTTGCAAAATAAAGTACGTACAGGTGATTGCCTTGTCTATTTTGTGCATTCCCACAGCTTGGAGCATCTCCCAGCAACCCATGGCTGGCCATACCAACCTCACGATCATTGTGGCCGAATCTTGAGAAATTCATGGGGATTTTGTATCTACTAGGTAGTGTGTACTCCAGCTTAGGGTATTAGAGTGCTCAAAAGTACCTAGGCGTGTAGGCAGCCGAGAAGATCCACTGCGAAGGCGTCACGCTCATGCGCAAGAGTGAGTCCCTTACCACAGTTTAGGGCGTCTGTCCATTGTGCTCTGACTGCCTGGGCGAGTGGACCGCCGAGATCGTCGCTTCATTCATTTCACTTCAATCTATTGTGATTGCTATCAGAATCAGTAACTCACCACAGTAGCGACACCAACAGATCCAGTGAAAGTTGGCTGCTGGACTATGTGGTGATGAAACCACTCTTAACAAACTTCTTTAAAAAGGTACAGGGTGTCTTGAAGTAGGCAGAATAGAATACATTTGTCACCAACCCTTGCTCTTCTCGCGGGTGTCGTAAGAGGCGACTTAGGGACTACACATCAAACAGAGAACGGGCAGCAGCGCTCTCTGAAAAAGATCAATCGTTTAAACTGCGATCTCCAACCCGCTTGCCAAGCGTGGGGATTATGGCAAAACTCTCATAGAGGAGGCTCATTGTACAGCAGCGGACTGTAAAGGGCTGTCGATAATGATGATGATGACTGTCTCAAAGTAACACAATATTAATTATTTACAGCCCAAGTCTACGACGCCTTCGAGTCTCCCGACGGGAGGTTGGAGCTGACGCTGTCAAATGGATCGTCGATGGTCACAGATTACGTATGTATAAATATTAATTTCTGAAGAGTAAATTCCATGAAGTACAGGATAATGTGGCTTCTCGAGAGCGAACCATAGCTTGAGCTGTTTACTCTACTATCGTCTGTAACATCTGTTAATTGATATAGATCGTTTCGCGCGTCTTCGTGGTTGAAACTATCTATATCCGTATCTTTTGTATTTTTTTTTCTTGTTTTGTGTGGGTATACAATAAAGTGTGTTCTATCTAAAACTGTTGTAGAACTGCCCATTCATAAATTCAAAGCACATATTAAAAGTACCTTAATGAAAAAGGGCTACTATAAAGTCGATGATTATTTAATTAGATAAAAATGTTTGGAATGCGTAACTGCCTAGCTCGCATAAATATTTATGTATATTTTAAAGTCTGTAAACCTTTGAAAAAGAGGCTAACAATAGTGACCGAGTTTCTTGCGCTGCTTCTTTCAGCACTGGCCCATTTATTGTCCTGAAGCAGTGGTAGGGTTAATACTTGGATGTGTAAAAGTGCTTTTTTAAAGCCTATTTGCAGAAATAAATGAGATTTTTTATCCGTTTCTTTTGTATTTCTCTTTTTTTTTCTTGTTTTGTGTGGATATACAGGGTGGAATTTTGTAATGCCACCTGGAGGGAAAGTACTCTTAACATTGTAGATAAAAAAAATTTCTCAAAGAAAACATTCCTTTATTTTTGAAAAGAAATAGAACTGCATTCAAAGATTTCCAAAAATTTGCTTTCCACACCTGGGACTCGAACCAACTAAAATCTGTTAAAAATTACACCCTGTATTTTTATTGCATCGATCGATAGGGTCAAGTATAAGGATAAAATTTCTCTAACAAACTTGATAAATCAAATGAAAGGAAATTCATAAAATCTTAAATTATTTTAATCATGTACAGAAAATTGTATGGTATGGTAGAGAATTTTCAAAAAAAAATTGCAAATCTATGAATGCAGTTCTCTTTCTTTTCAAAAATAAAGTAATGTTTTCTTTCAGTAAAATTTTCTATCTGCAGTATTAAGAGTACTTTCCCTCCAGGTGGCATTACAAAATTCCACCCTGTATAATAAAGTGTTTTCTATCTGTTGGGTTACCTAATAGTTTATCGCCCGTATTCACAAACATTACTATGAGGTCTCACAGTGCGCGTGGATGCACAGGGTGACACACGAACCAATCACAGAGCTCTATTCAACGCTGTGCGTTCGATTTGCTGCTTCACATAAGCAAAATCAAAATCAAAAATATTTATTCAGTTTAGAGACCACAAGTGGCACTTATGAACGTTAAAATGTGTACATATAGTAAATAATAAAAAAAGAAAAGGTAGCCCTTATATGGGTCACTTTACATGTCTGTCTCCTTATCTTTTTGTTCCCTACCAGCAGCGATTCGAGACAAACATATGGCAAGTGCTGAGAAGAAACGCCGGAACAAACTCAGTCACCACTAATTGCCAGGAATTATCTAAAGCCTGGTCCGTGAGCACGTAGAATCCCGTCCAATGACCCCAAGCTACCCATCCTTATCGCTCGCGCGTAATTATATTGCTGTCGCGACTGTGCGACGCGCGTCCGCAGTGAGTGTGCGAGCGCGACAGCAACATAATTACGTGCGAGCGACAAGGATGGGCAGCTTGGGGTCATTGGACGGGATTCTACGTGCTCACGGACCAGGCTTTAACTAAGCAAGCATGGTTTGTGAATACGACCGTAAATCTCCAGGTGTTCGTGGCCGTGGGCGCCGACCCGCGCGTGGAGATGGCTCAGCCATCTTTCCTGGAGACCGACGACATCAACAACGGCTTCCTCGTCAACACCGAGCTGGAGGCACGCACGCATCTATACGTGGTAAGGACATTTCCCTTCTTTTGTATGAAAAGCGACAAATATGTAGTTCATGACATCCAATTCTCCAACGTCGAGCTATTGGAACGCTGCCACGAAATTCCGATCGACCAGCAGATCAAGCGCCGCAAGTGGAACTGGATTGGCCACACTCTCCGAAGCGTCTTTCCGTTCTATACATGGCCAGAACGCACCCATAGGAAACTGCTCGTGTATATTTCGGAGTGCCTGTTTGTAAATCTGTGACTCCAAACTATACACGAATTTTGCGTACTGATCGTGTATAGTTTGGAGGAGCTTAGTAANGACGCGCTCGAGATGCAGGTCAGTCCCCGGCTGCAGGCCGCGACACACTCGCTCCGAGGAGCAGGGCTACATCGCGGCGCCAACATGACGGGCTACTGGGTCCCCGCCAACATGGAGCCGCACTACTGGCTCGTCCTGGGCACGGTAATAATATCATACAGTATTGTAACTTCATATAAACAGACGAAACGAGAACTTTCTTTCGAAATTCAAATCTCGGTATGCGCTCGGTATGCAAAAGTCGGGGGTGTCGCGAATGCGAATGTGCCGAATGGATGTCGGTGGCCAAGTGTTAAAAATGACAAAACTGATTGAATTTGACTGACCATCATTTACGGTCAAAAACTAGTCAAATTGTTATTTTCAGTCAGTTTGATTTGAAATGAAAATTATATTGTATTAAACCAGCTTTTGCCCACGATTTGGCGCGCTCGAAATTAACAGATCATTATTATTAAAGTTTTATAATTATTTAAGTAGATTTTACTAAATTAAATATACTAGTTAATCACAAAACAACACACATTTTTAACCTATTCCATTCACAAAGTATTTTGTTTGTCTAACTAAATAAAAAAATACAATCACAAAACTATAATATAGAAATTCTAAGTAGGCAGATGTAATGAAGAATGTTCACTAATTTTGTTTTTTAGCTTTCTGTATTCTCTGTTAAAAATAAAAAATACACGTGAAAGAATTATTTCGATACGTCAATTAGTTTCCAAGATATTGAATTTTAAAAGTGCGGGCGGCGGCCGGCCCGCCATTTTATGGGCGTGACGTCATATTACAACGAATGGTTCATATTTGTATGGGTGGAATCTTGCAAACTGAATTAAGACCCACTTCCAGGCAACTGATTAAGCTGAAATTTCGCAAACACATGTGATTTGGATGACCATGCAATATTATGATGACATGGAGCTGATCTGATGATGGAGCTGGAAGGTGGCCATAGGAACTCTATAATAAAACGACTTAANTAAACGGTGAGCAAATACGCGCGCGATATTGTTTTTCTGTAACAGACAAAATTCCACGCGAGCGAAGCCGCGGGCGGAAAGCTAGTATATAATAGAAAGAGAGGTCAATAAGTCAAAATGACTACATGCAACTACTCGCGTATAAATTGTAATCACGCACTTATTATACATACGATTAGTCCGTATGCGTACTGGCGATGTATATTTTGGAGGAAGATCATTGACCTAAGTCACTACAAAGTATACGCGAGCAGTACGCAGCGTATGCGTACTAGTCGTGTATAGTTTGGAGGAGCTTAGTAAAAAAAGTCATATCCAAACTATACTCGATTAGTTTCACACCCTTGCGTTCTGGCTATGTATAGAATGGAAAGACGCCTCTCCGAAGGGACCCCGATCACATCCCTAAGCAGGCTCTGGATTGGAATCCCCAAGGAAAACGCAAACGTGGTCGACCCAGGCAAACTTGGCGGCGCACTGTAGCGGACGAGGCGAAGAAGATCGGCAAGACCTGGAGCGAGATCAAGCGAAAAGCTCAAGATCGAACGAGATGGAGGACTGTTGTGGACGCCCTCTGCCCCATCTAGGGGACATAGGACCATAAGTCAAGTCAAGTCATGACATCCAAAGTGACCGACAAGTTGACAATGCAACCTTATTCCAATTGTAACGAAGACGTGTTGGGAATTTTTTAACTACTTTGAATGTCACGAACTATTCAACGCCGACTGTACATGCTCCAGTATAATCGCGACGCCTCTAACCGTCAAAAATTGAGGTACATTTCCAGGAGAGCCACCCTCGGAAAAGACATCAAACACCTCACTGTGTACCTTGTCAGCGCAACCACGACCACTCTGATAAGAGTGTCCTACTAAGAAAAAGAAGTATGAAAAGTCCACGGGGAGAGCGGGAGGTCTCATTTTACTATGCGATTATACGTCGTCATAGTCTGTCCAATTTCTTTTGTCCAATTTTACTTTGACATAATCGCAGCAAAAAAGACAACTAATAAAAGGAAGGCTCAAGCGGGTCTGTATCGAAAAATACTATTATCAGCGCATTAGTGACGTCACACGTGCAGTGAGGAGAGAGTGTGCATTTCCATGCCACGGGCACCCGCTCCGGACATCCGCGCAAGTTTTAGCGTAGTACTTATAGCAGGGTCATGACGCGTCGTATAGGCTAAATTTCTATCAATCAATATGTGAGTGTACGCGCGCGAATCGAATACTGCTCGCGATCGCCGCACGACGACGTAGTCATTGCCTTCTACTTATTTAAAATATTTTTACTGTCGTTTCAGGCAGGGGACGCCGCGAGCTTCTACTCGCAGTGGAAAGACAGCCGGCTGCGCTTCGAGCACTACGACAACGCCGAGGAGCAAGGCTACATCGCCGGCGCCAACATGACGGGCTACTGGATACCCGCCAACATGGAGCCGCACTACTGGCTCGTCCTGGGTGACGCGCTCGAGATGCAGGTCAGTCCCCGGCTGCAGGCCGCGACACACTCGCTCCGAGGAGAAGGGCTACATCGCGGCGCCAACATGACGGGCTACTGGGTCCCCGCCAACATGGAGCCGCACTACTGGCTCGTCCTGGGCGACGCGCTCGAGATGCAGGTCAGTCCCCGGCTGCAGGCCGCGACACACTCGCTCCGAGGAGCAGGGCTACATCGCGGCGCCAACATGACGGGCTACTGGGTCCCCGCCAACATGGAGCCGCACTACTGGCTCGTCCTGGGCGACGCGCTCGAGATGCAGGTCAGTCCCCGGCTGCAGGCCGCGACACACTCGCTCCGAGGAGCAGGGCTACATCGCGGCGCCAACATGACGGGCTACTGGGTCCCCGCCAACATGGAGCCGCACTACTGGCTCGTCCTGGGCGACGCGCTCGAGATGCAGGTCAGTCCCCGGCTGCAGGCCGCGACACACTCGCTCCGAGGAGCAGGGCTACATCGCGGCGCCAACATGACGGGCTACTGGGTCCCCGCCAACATGGAGCCGCACTACTGGCTCGTCCTGGGCGACGCGCTCGAGATGCAGGTCAGTCCCCGGCTGCAGGCCGCGACACACTCGCTCCGAGGAGCAGGGCTACATCGCGGCGCCAACATGACGGGCTACTGGGTCCCCGCCAACATGGAGCCGCACTACTGGCTCGTCCTGGGCGACGCGCTCGAGATGCAGGTCAGTCCCCGGCTGCAGGCCGCGACACACTCGCTCCGAGGAGCAGGGCTACATCGCGGCGCCAACATGACGGGCTACTGGGTCCCCGCCAACATGGAGCCGCACTACTGGCTCGTCCTGGGCACGGTAATAATATCATACAGTATTGTAACTTCATATAAACAGACGAAACGAGAACTTTCTTTCGAAATTCAAATCTCGGTATGCGCTCGGTATGCAAAAGTCGGGGGTGTCGCGAATGCGAATGTGCCGAATGGATGTCGGTGGCCAAGTGTTAAAAATGACAAAACTGATTGAATTTGACTGACCATCATTTACGGTCAAAAACTAGTCAAATTGTTATTTTCAGTCAGTTTGATTTGAAATGAAAATTATATTGTATTAAACCAGCTTTTGCCCACGATTTGGCGCGCTCGAAATTAACAGATCATTATTATTAAAGTTTTATAATTATTTAAGTAGATTTTACTAAATTAAATATACTAGTTAATCACAAAACAACACACATTTTTAACCTATTCCATTCACAAAGTATTTTGTTTGTCTAACTAAATAAAAAAATACAATCACAAAACTATAATATAGAAATTCTAAGTAGGCAGATGTAATGAAGAATGTTCACTAATTTTGTTTTTTAGCTTTCTGTATTCTCTGTTAAAAATAAAAAATACACGTGAAAGAATTATTTCGATACGTCAATTAGTTTCCAAGATATTGAATTTTAAAAGTGCGGGCGGCGGCCGGCCCGCCATTTTATGGGCGTGACGTCATATTACAACGAATGGTTCATATTTGTATGGGTGGAATCTTGCAAACTGAATTAAGACCCACTTCCAGGCAACTGATTAAGCTGAAATTTCGCAAACACATGTGATTTGGATGACCATGCAATATTATGATGACATGGAGCTGATCTGATGATGGAGCTGGAAGGTGGCCATAGGAACTCTATAATAAAACGACTTAAATGCATCGAGTTTGGGCTCGTTCGTTTTGTATTGATGAGTATTTTAATTCTATACAGGGTGGAAACGATAAGTGATCTCACTCGATTATTTCTAAACCATACAAGATATCGAAAAACTGGTTCCTGATCCTGAAAGTGCTTTACGAGCTCTTTCACACGGCACCAATAACAGGTTACAGAATAAACTGGATCTATCCGAAAATTCAATGTTTCCGGCTTCTATACATTTGGTACAGCCTCATAATATTAAAAACTACAGAAGGTATCGTAAAACTGTTTACTGATCCTAAAAGTGCTTCACGAGCTCTATCCAAAAATCCAATGTTTCCATCCCCCATACATTTAGTACTACCACAGTCATGGCACTCATCTCTTGTCACTCATACTTGATCCAACACTTTATAGCAAGTAAAGCCTTTTTTTTTTCCTTGAAAAAAATTTTTTCCTTGAATAATTTTAAATAAAAATGCAATTTACGAGTTTTTTTTAGGTTCATTATTTATTAAAAAATTACACTTAATATTGTGTGGTTGGCATACATTTAGTATGGAAGCTGGAAACATTGAATTTTCAGATACTTCCAGTTTATTCTGTAACCTATTAAGCTGAAATTTCGCAAACACATGTGATTTGGATGACCATGCAATATTATGATGACATGGAGCTGATCTGATGATGGAGCTGGAAGGTGGCCATAGGAACTCTATAATAAAACGACTTAAATGCATCGAGTTTGGGCTCGTTCGTTTTGTATTGATGAGTATTTTAATTCTATACAGGGTGGAAACGATAAGTGATCTCACTCGATTATTTCTAAACCATACAAGATATCGAAAAACTGGTTCCTGATCCTGAAAGTGCTTTACGAGCTCTTTCACACGGCACCAATAACAGGTTACAGAATAAACTGGATCTATCCGAAAATTCAATGTTTCCGGCTTCTATACATTTGGTACAGCCTCATAATATTAAAAACTACAGAAGGTATCGTAAAACTGTTTACTGATCCTAAAAGTGCTTCACGAGCTCTATCCAAAAATCCAATGTTTCCATCCCCCATACATTTAGTACTACCACAGTCATGGCACTCATCTCTTGTCACTCATACTTGATCCAACACTTTATAGCAAGTAAAGCCTTTTTTTTTTCCTTGAAAAAAATTTTTTCCTTGAATAATTTTAAATAAAAATGCAATTTACGAGTTTTTTTTAGGTTCATTATTTATTAAAAAATTACACTTAATATTGTGTGGTTGGCATACATTTAGTATGGAAGCTGGAAACATTGAATTTTCAGATACTTCCAGTTTATTCTGTAACCTGTTATTGGTACCGTTTGAAAGAGTTCGTAAAGCACTTTCAGGGTCAGTAACCAGTTTTTCGATATCTTGTATGGTTTAGAAATTATCGAGTGAGATCACTTATCGTTTCCACCCTGTATAGTAATCGGGGTCTAATGATGGAGCTCGAAGGTAATTCGCAATAAAACGACACAATCGCATCAAGTTTGGGTTTGGTTCAATTTTAATTTCTGTCATGCGTCTGGGTGTTAATATGTATAATAAGTTTGTATTTACAAAAAAAAAATATTTAAGTATGTATAGATCCGTTTTCTAGTGAGCGGACGCTGTGAATGTACGTCACACGGGGTCACGTGACCGTCGGCGGGACTCAATATTTAAGCGAACTTTGAATGCCAATAAAATCATAACTACTGGGTATTTTTGAATGAAATAAAAACTAATGTATTTGTAAATGTAAAAGCTTAACTGTAACATAGGTTTCAAGTGATTTTGCATACCTAGTAACATTCTCAATTAAACTGGGTACTGTAGGTGGGCAGCCCTATTGCATGTTGTCATACTGTGACGTACCGCGCGACTGTTGACATTTATTTCAAAAATATGGCCGAGTTAGAATACTGTATAGATAGTATTACCGTGTCCTGGGCGACGCGCTCGAGATGCAGGTCAGTCCCAGTTTCGACACTCATAGCAAGTCCATGGAGATGTGTGGAGGTGCGCGCACGTAGAAACGTGACAGTGACAGAAACTCCATAACTCCAAACGTGTGAGTTTACCGGAGGCCTTATAGCCTGTGATAATAAGCGGCCATAACTATCATAGCAACTATGAGTGGACACAAGTGGCACTTTTTGATCGAATCGAAAATTGAATCCGTTGAATCTCCATAATAAAAAAACACATCTTTCTGGCGCAGTCGGGTAAAAAAAGGCTTTTCGACTTCGACCATCTTTCGACATGAAAACTGACACATTTTGCATTTTATCTAGCCCCTGTTCTAACTTCTAAGTAATATTTATTTTTCAATTTATTTTTATTTTAATTACACAGGTTTTATACCTTATAACGTAATTAAATAGTTAAGTAACAATAAACACAATAACAACATCTTAAAGACTAAAGAGAACACTGCTCACAAAAGGATTGGTCATTTGACAATATTTTGTGCCAAGGGTCCGCAAATATGAAAATAGCGATAAAATACGTGATTGTTTGTTGTTGGCAGGTTGTGGGTGAATGTGGCGCGTGCATGCCCACAGTGGGTCTCTTCAAACAGTGCACCCCCGAGGAGGCAGTTAAGAAACCGCCTAGCGGGGACGGGGACCGCCCTTGCTACAAAAAGTTAGTAAGCCTACCATAAAACCGAACGTCCACCGCCGGCTAAACTAAGTTAGTTTAGCTTAGCTCGCATAGTTGAGCCAGTTTTTCATACATGTGCGTCCACCGCAAACTATGCCAGCTAAGCTACGTGAAATGCCCCAGCTAAGTGGAACTAACTTAGCTCGGTTAACTCGACGTTCTAGCACAAACTGACCATCACTTACGTAGTTTTAGCTTATTTATTGGTGAACGGACAACGTAGTTCTAGTTTAGCTTAGCTTAGTTCACAGAGTTTAGTTTTCATTTAGTTTAGCTTAAGTCATTTAAAAGAGTTTAACAACGACCTTCCCATTCGCATTTCATCACAAATTTTAAAAGTAATTTATTTTGGCCCAATTGCAAAATGGTCACACTCGGATAAAAGTTGTTTAACATTTTCAACCTACAAGAAAATATTGTTTCAAGAACTTTAAGGCCCAGAACACACGGTGAAACGCAACTGCATCCGTTGAGAGACCACACATGACGCGACCAGTTGGAAACCGATTTGAACTGGTCAAACTGGTCGCGTCATGTGTGGTCTCTCAACGGAATCTATGGCGGAAACTTAGATGCAACTCAAAAGTAACTAGAAGTTGCAGTTTCGTTGCAGTTGCGTTTTACCGTTTGTTCTGGTCCTAACTCTTAACTGAGTGTGGCCATTTTGTGAATGGGACGGTTTGCATCAAACCTCGTTTTAAGATCGAACTCATGCCTATTTGCGCTCAATAGTTAGCGCTCCTAACGAGTGATAGAACTAAATAATTAAATTAGGAAAAAATTTATAAATCTCGAGAGATGGGATACAAAAAAAAAACAATACTTATATTAATATATTTATTCGAATGGCATTGTTATTTTAATTTCAATTGAAATTGGATCGTAATCAATCGAATCAAATTGTGATAGATCCCCCCTAGTAATCGCAGATTTTTTTTACATTGCGTAAGGCAACCGCTGAAAATCAGCGGCGAGGTGTGCACGCATTTCTCGATTAATGCTGAGCGGGCGCCTTTTTCTCACAAAATATCTACCTTTATTTGTATATTTTAAGTCCTTTATTATTTTTGTTTATTTTGTGTGGAATAAAGATTTTTCTATTCTATTCTAGGAGCGAAGAGTACAAGAACCGGTACAAGCGTGGCCTGGTGTTCTACCTGCGGGACGAGATCGTGGTCGGGATGGTGTTCTGGAACATGCCTCCCATCGACGACAGGAAAGAAGTCGCCACAGAGGTAAGTACACGTCAAAAACGGGACTATTCCCACCTCTCGTTCCCACCACTGCAACTCCTGTGTAGCCAGGATCTACAGCTTGACCGCCATAAAAACCCAACCAATGAAGGTCAAGTTTGTCCCGGGGGAAACTGTCATTGGACCCGCAACGAAATTAACCCATTTAGACCGATAATTATTTTTGTAAATAAAAATTGATTTTTCAGCAAAAACTCACAAAGGGAAGCCTAAAAATCATGAAAAAAATATTTAAAAAAATAATCCATAAATAGGGGGCCGTGGGGAGCCCGTACCATATAGGGTACAGTAGGTCTATAAGCAAGCAAAACATAGTCGTTGTTCAAAGAAGATTTTTATTAATTATTGTATGATATAAAATAAAAATAAAATCACATAATCACTAGTATCACACTTGGCATATCTCGTAACACGTTTTCTGTGATACTAACCATATTTGGTTATTTGTCCTACCTTCTCCGAAGTTAGTGAGGATAGCTGAAGAAGACCTGGCTTCTTCTGGTTTGTTACGTTTAGTGCTATCCATAATCGCATTTAGCAACACGACGATGGAAATTTTGCAAATACTTCGGAGAAAACTCTGAGGGTTATTATTTATATTGACACTATCTTTATCGCCTAAATCTTCGTCAGTCTGATCATCATTAGCGGTCATCTGACAAGACAGCAGTAGAAAAATACCAAGATTGCTTTATGTTTACTGAAATTATCAATTTTTTTATGAGTTGTGGCAATATAGTGAAGCATCAATAGCCTAAAACAAATAAAAATAATAAAAACTAAAAATAAAAATAGCATGATTTTCTCATGCATAGACCTACTGTACCTTATACGGTACACCTATTTTAGACTGGAATAAACCGTATAAAAATAATCTCAATAATATTTTTTTTGTAGTCATGATATCTATTGTACTCTATTTTTTAAATAAAATTGATAAATAAATAACATACTTTACCATGATTAATAAGAAATTATACCTTCTTAAATACATTGTAATTTTTTTTTTGTCTTCTGTCGAGGAATTTCATAAATATTTCCGAAACCACTTGTTAAAACATATTTTTAAATATTTTTATGTAAAATAATAACTTTAAGCTTACTGTCATAATCATTTTTACAAATTAATAACAATTTGGTACTTTGTAATATTTTCAAAAAGATACTGTACCACATAGGGTACGGTAGGGCTAAATGGGTTAATCAGAAGAACGTAAGAGGAGTTCGAAAGTACACGTCACTCAAAAATTTATTTTAACCTGTATTGGCGAAAAGCGTGGGCCACATTGAGCGGATTTTTTTATGCAGAACAAAGCAGGCATCTGACTGCAATCACACCATGTCAAATGAGACACAGTCTAGGATGTTTACGGGCCGTTTCAGGCCTTAACATTTTCATTACGATATCTCTTAGTGAGGACACTTCTAATGCTTCAACCACACCAACGCGTGCAGATCGCGATTACGGCACGGTAATAATATCATACAGTATTGTAACTTCATATAAACCGACGAAACGCGAGTTTTCCTTCGAATTTCAAATCACGGGACGTAGTCGAGATCCAGAAGTTAGGGATGTCGCGAATGTGCCGAACGGACGTCGATGGCCTAGTGTTGAAAATGACTAAGGTGATTGAATTTGACTGACCGTCTTAAACGATCAAATTTGTCAAAAACTAGTCATTAACTGACAGAAATGGTCATTTTCAGTCAGTTCGATTTAAAATGAAAATTATATTGTATAAAACCAGCTTTGGCCCACGATTTCGCTAGTCCGAAATTAAAGTAACAGGTCATTAAGTACTCATTATGATTAGTAGATTCAAAATTATTTTAGTATATTTTTTAAAATTAAATCTACTAATCACAAAACAACACGCATTTTTATCCTATTCCATTCACAAAGTCTTTTGTTCGTCTAAATAAAAAAAAATTACAATCACAAAACTAGATAGAAATTCTTAGTGGACAGATGTAATTTGAATGGGTACCATAAGTGAGCAGCCCTATCGCATGTTGTCATACCGTGACGTACCGCGGGGCTGTTGACATTTATTTCAAAAATATGGCCGAGTTGGAATACTGTATAGATAGTATTACCGTGATTACGGCGCGATCATAGGGAATGACAGGTCGCGTGAACTGTCATGGGTCGCGCGACCTGTCATTGGCCTTTGATCGCGCCGCGAGGGCGATCTGCACACGTTGGTGTGGTTGAAGCATAATTGTTTACATACTTTTTACCTACCACTGGCGTACGAACGATCCGGAAAATATAGTCAGGGACATCACTGTTGTCCCTTTTCAAAATCCCAAATATAAATCTAATAGGTACGGACAGCGCTTGAAACTAGAATATACTATGTGGCTTCCCGAGTAGTTCTTTCTAAGGTGATTTTATGACAAACATATTGTAGCGGCTAGTACATGTTAAAACCACGCTTCTGTAGCCTCTAAAACACGTAGTTGTAGTCCGGTACTGTATCGTTACAACGTTGACAGTTGCTTCGGGCGCGGCCCTCGTACAAGGACATTAATTTGCTCGCGGAGCTGGTCGGCTTTCCGGACACCCAGTGCGTGTACGCATCAGAAGAGGAACTCAAGGAACCCGGCCCTTGTATCAAAAAGTAAACTTCCTTATTTATTATTAGAGCATAGACATGTCGCAGTCGGGTCATTTAATCCGCCGTATTACATTACGGCTAGCCGTTTTCTAAACGGCTACTATAAAATGTGTCAGTTCAACAATTGCGACAGATTATAATTATAACGATAATAAGAATTGGCTCATAAATTGTGCACATTGCTATATCAAAGTATGCTTAACTACTAAGCAAGCATCACTTGCAATTATGTCTACAAATCGCTCGCAAATCAAGTTATATTTCAATTTCAATTCTACGGGGCAACGATTCTTATTTTACGTTTTCTTTTTCAGCTGGCGCGTATTTTAAACGATCCAAGCTAGCTACACCGGTTGTTATTCATTTGGATAAAATTACAATAATGTTTGTATGTTTAATAAAGCGTAACAGTGAAAACAATATCATTTTTATAGTTTCTTTTATTATGCAGTTTTTAATATTCATTTCATCAATTCATAAGCTTTGAATATGCGTATTAAAATTCATATAACTTTATTAGTTATAATTCATATTAATTTCATTAATCTATTAAAATCTAGTGGTGTTGCTGATTGGCATCATCATTATAGATAGTTTTAATGTTTTTAATTTAAATAATTAAGAGACTAACAATTTGCACCTAGTATTAAAATTTTGTATCTTATAATTTCTACGATGTAATTGAATAATCGATATAGATATTTCACTATCGATTACTATCGAGTGGATGCCATTGCCATCCCTAGTACTGTCATGTGTCACTTTTTGCTGTCATGTCATCATTCATTCATTCATCATCATCAGCTTGCTCCACAGCTTGCTCAAAAATCAAATACAACAAAACACAAAACAAAATTATTTAAATCACAGATATGGATATTTAAATAGATTTGGTTGTCTTCAAAGTGTTTATTAAAACTCTGTCTTTAATAATTATGTACAAGCAAGCGTAATTGTGAACTGAAGTTGCTGTATTTGTCTTTCCGATAGTTGCCGAAGTGTTGTCTGGTTAATGTTAACCTATTACTTTTGCAGATTTACTGATGCTTTGTGATTTCTTTCTGAGTTGTAATATATTTGGGGAAACTATTGTGGTCGTTGTTTCATGCAGTCAGCATAATTAAAACTCATTCTTATGTTTATAGGTTAGGAATTCGCATTGTAAAAATGCCTTTGTTGCAACTTTTTGTGTTCGATAGAATTCGTTTCTACTAACGAGGTTATTTCTCTAAAATGTTGGTCAGTTTACGTGGTAAGAGTGTGCATTATGATGTGCTATGATTTGGCTTATAAAATGCCATCTTATCTTATCAATGCCTGATTCTTAGTTATTTTAACTCTCTCTTACAACAATTAACCCCTTTATCTGAAACGTTTTATACTCGTTGTAGGACTACAAAAGCTTAATGTAACTCAAGTCAAAACAGCTTTATAATTTAAGACCGCATTATAGAATTTCGTGAACATAAGAATGTTACTAATCGAACAAAGAGTGAGTTTGTTGCGGCGCTTCTTCTCAGCACTTGCCAAATGTTTGTCTCGAAGCTCTGGTAGGGCAAAAAAAGAATGAGACATGTATAGGCTCCTTAAGAGCATTTGACGAATTGTAAGTACTAATTTAATTAGTCTAAACAAATAAAGATAATTTTGATTTTGAATTTATTAAAAACCAGAGGGTGCCAAATTATTGTAATGTTCAAATTACTGGATTGTACACTTATTTTGCTGTTTCTTCATCCCTTAAACCAAGAATTTAATGGTCAGAGGGTCTTTACTTGTCTCGAATCATTATACTTGAAAAAATTATATTAAGAAAACACATTTTCTTTATCCAATTTTGTTTGTGAGCTTCCTTCGTTATAGCAAAGTGGTATAGAAAATTGCGCACTTACTAACTTAGGTAAAGTCTGATTCTTTTGAAAATCAAAAGATTTGTTTTTAAGTTTCCTCTTTCTTTTCTATAATGAGTTTATTTCTTTTCTTTGTTGATCTTGTTCCACGTTCACACTAATGTTGTTGTGAAAATATTCATAATCTATTACTCAATTTGTTTTTTGTGTCTTTCCAATGTTGGTTGGCCTGTCTATCAAATGAAACAAAAAACAGCCTTAATTAAACATGTTTTGGCTACCAAAATAAATTATGATTTAGTATTAATAATAACAATGGTTTTGCATTTGTGTGGTTTGTCTTAAATCATGCATGATAATGTCTGCCCTTGAAATAGAGTTCACTTAACATGATACCACTGAGGACACACATCACATCCAATGGTTTAATCTTCATTGTCTTCCTTGTCTGAAATGAACCTTGTATTGATATTGTGTGACGTAATATAAATTTAACACAAAGGAATTGTAAGGATGTATGCATAGGGTATAAAATAAATGCCGATTATTATTAGAAACAATTTTTATTAGATGTAATTACGAATCTGATTAATTAGAGTCCAAATTTGTTTTACAGTGACACAAAGCTCTTTCAATTTTGGGCTCTCCAGGCAGAGGCAAAAGTTCTTTGAAATCTCTGATTATATTCGAAGAAGAAACATTGGTGTGTCACTTCTTCACTTGAGTCTTCTATGGCTTTGACGTGGCTAGTGCATATTCACTGATGGTTTGTGCCAGGGTTCGAAAATATCCGATATTTATGATATATATCGGATATTAAGGATATTTTCGAACCCTGGTTTGTGCTATGATGACATCTTCTTTTGTTTGAGTACTTTCCATAATTTCTTCGGGTTCTTAAAATTTGTGATGTATAATAGTATGTCCCTTATGGCTGCTGGCCACCAGGCGCTGTCGAAGGTTTCCCTGTGTATCCAGGAACGCCATAGTGACGATCAGTTTTTGGTCCAAACTGACACTGGAGATACTACAGTCCTCGGAGCTTCTTTAGGGCATGATATGATTATATTGGCGGGTTTTATAACATGCCACTGGCTTATGCCGCCGGGTTTGCCGTCGGCTTACAGACTGCCTTGCCAGTGTGCCGGCGTCCTGGCCGCCGGGTTGGCCGCCGGCCGTGCCACCCGGCATGTGTGGATGCACCATTCTGTTGGAGTATTAAGTAGCTCTCTAGATGACACCTCCGATGGCATGAAGTCGATTTCATTGAACGCATTTGAATTAAATGGGAAGATGCCACATTTCTTGAAAGACGAAGCAATATTATTCGGCGTCACATTTATTAAAGCCTCTTGGTTTATCTAGGTCCCAAAATTTCATAAAAGTAGCTTTAATAGTGTAGGAGGCCTAGGTTTGGTGTGTGGTGGTGTTTAGCCTTCCTACTTTTCAGTGTTGAGGAGAGGTAGTTGAAGTAAAACTCAATTGCTAGTTCAGAAGGGAATAATTTATTGACGAAACAAAGCCATATTTATTTACAAAACTTATGTACAACGAGACTACCTAAGCAACCATACACTTTGACCAATCGCTGTTTGATGTTATATACTTTTCGTCTCGCTCCCACGATGTCTCTCTGTCATCGAGTTTGCGCAGTGTTCGGACCGGAGTGCGGCGCGAGTCTTCTGTCTCGCTCTCACGCTACCTCCTTGTCTGCAGTGATTCGGAATTTATTTTCGTACCTCTTGCTGAGAAGGCCCAGAGCTACATTGTAGCTATCTGCAGTAATAGGCAGATTTTTGATGAGGTCTAAGGCCTCATCACGCAAATACGAACGCAAGTAATAAAACTTTTGAATCTCGTCTAAGGTATTGTCATTGTGAATCATGGAAGTGAAGATATTAATAAAAGGAACGTATTCTGTAAACATGCCATTGAAAGTTTGGATTGTAATTGGCGGTAACTTAGTTATATTATGGTGAGGTGACTTGGAGGCTTGCATGGAGGAAGTTGTCATCTTTTTTTTATTTCTGAGTCTAGCTTTGTTAGAATAGCGAAATAGTTGCTTTCAGTTCTTTCGACGTTTTCGCTGTCATTTTCATTCAAGTACAATATTTCTTGGTTGAGCTTTTCGTACGCTGCGAAAGATGTTACAAGTCTGACACGTTTTGCTTCTAAGATTTCGATTGTATGTGAAGTTAAATCTTGTTCACAAACTTGTAGCAATCTTGTGATCGTACCTTTTAGGTAACCTCGCGAAGCAATTTTCTGTTTTAATCCTTCCTCCATGTTTAAACTTCCTTTTCACCACAATGGATAAACTTCG